GGCACTGCTTTTCCCATTGAGCCTCCCTTCTTGTTGCCATGGCCACCATCTGCTTGCGCTCTTCATCCTCTTTCCCATCACGGGTACCGCTCGCTTGCTTGCTTCCCAGGCAGAAAGCGGGCCGTGGCATCCCCTGGCCCTCCATCTCTACCACCATGGTCTGGGCCAGGGTGAGCTGCAGGTGAGCAAGCAGGGCGAGGAAGGGCACACCTGTCGGAGTCTTCCAGCTGGAGCCCTGCTTGGGGTGGGCCACCCACAAGTGCCCAGCCATGTCGGTCTCTGGCACTAGCCCTGGTCCCAACCACCGGGCAGCAGAGCAGGCATAGACAGAGCGAACCCCGCCATTTTGAGCGCTCTAAGAAATAGGGGCGAGAGCCATCCCAGTGAGAGGTCTTTCCCCCCAAACTGGAAAGGAGGCACAATCTAGAAGAGACTTTCCGATGAGCCATTCAAGCACGGATGTGCCTCTGCGGCCCCCCGTATATTGTAGGTCAGTGATTCCCCTCATCCTGGTCATTGGTAAAGCTGGGTGAGCCTGCTGGAAGTTGGGAGTCTGAGAACACCTGGAAGGTTACAGGTAGGCACAAGGTATGTATCCTTACTTCAAAACTAGTTCTTAAAAGCCCCACATACGCAAATTGCTTACATCCACTAAAGGCACAATCCTATTAAAAGTATCCTCGGTGACTGGAAACCCTTGAACTTCCAATCATCCAATGCAAGCTGGGAAGAGTGGCAAAAGCGTTTTCTGGATGCCTGGCCTTGATCCCAATGAGACAGGGTTGCTAGAGGTGTTGGACTACCGTTCCCATAATACCCAGCCTCCAGAGGCTTCCATGATGTGGAAGAATGATATAATGCGAACACATCAGAACAGACCATCAGGGAGACACTGCAGAGCTTTCTTTATAACCATCTCAATCAGTACAAAAATAGCATTAATTCAGTAGCCACCTCACAAATTATCTTGTGATGCAACCCCACCCCCAAGCCCACCCCCGCCACACTGCTCCAAAGTGAGAAAGTAGTTTGGGAAGAGCACGGTGTCACATTTAATAAATATGCAAGAACAAATCCCCTTCTTCTTCGATTGTGAAACATTTAACAGCTTTGATTGTGAAACTTGCTTTTACTTTGCATCAAGTACATTTACAGTATAGGCCCTAAAATGGACGGACATGCAGACATTTTCTTCAAAGACAGAATGGCTCTAAAACCAATGCGAAGATGCTAGCTTGTTTATATTTAAAAGGCCACACACAATCACACGGGATGAGAAGGGAAAGAACGAGGATGAAAACTGCCCTTCACAAAAAAGAATCTTTCACAGACTGATGCCCCTCAAATATACAAATTATTGTAGGGTTCCAAGTGATGCAGGAGCTGTTCTTTGTTGAAGCAGCTTTCTCAAGCCAAGATGCTTTCCTAGAGCTTCCCAACCCAGTGATGTGGATTCAAATATTTACTCTTGTCTACATGGCCCTACGATGTCCACCTTAGAATCCTAGAATGGTAGAGTTGGAAGGGGCCATGAAGGTCATCCAATCCAACCTGTGCTGTGGCAGGACACCGGTTTACACCCTCCCACTCAGAGGGCTGCCCAGTTTTGTCTTGAATGGGAGAGCCCCCCACCTCTCCAGGCAGCTGGTTCCGTTGCTTTATTGCTCCGACAGTGAGGAAGCTTTTCCTGCTATCTAGCCTGAATCTGGGTTGTCGCAACTTGAGTATTCCGTGTCCTACACTCTGGTATCAACAGGAGACTTATTTGAACTCCATCAATTGTTTAAAGAATAATAAGGATAATAAAATGCTGTATTTGGAAACGCAAGTTAGCTAAGTTTCCTTCAATGCCATAGTTAAAGCTTAACTTCTAATCTTTTTAGAATTTGAGATGCTCCTGAGGTGGAATCCCAGGGCACACCTTTTGGATTAAAATTTGCGCTGAAGTCAGAAGCAAACATTGCTTGGACCATATGATCAAAAACATTGCACAAAAGAGCAGTGCTCAAACAGACCCATGTGCAAGGAGAAGGCAATTACAAGTTCATTTTAAAACGTTCCTCCTCCTCAAAATCTCCCTTCCACAGACAGCGAGCCTATCACAGAAGAAGGCTTTTATCCCCTGCTTCTTGCCAACAAGCAGTTCTCTGATGCTCTGCTTCATACATACATACCCATCATCCTGATTTCAAAGTGGCGTGGCTGAGGAAGTCTCTCCCATATTGAATTTAGGGCCACACCATTGGTCCGGAAACATTTATGGACTTGATTGTCCAGGCTGGGGTGAAGATATGCCTAAGACCTGCAGCAGGACTGAGTCTGGGTGACTTTTAAAGGCAGGATTACCATCTTTCCAAATCTGGCAGTCATATCCTCTGTGACTGGCAGATCCCTTAAATTTGGGGAAAATGAACTTCCCAGTTCCCTGAAGAATCAGTCTTTGATATGAAACATGATTAGCAATGGATGCTTTGGCAGCACCCCTGTTCCAGTCTCCTGCTTTGGATTTCACACCTGCAGCAACACCACAGCCTAATCCTCTCAGAAAAGGGGGGTTTTGTTCAGAAAGCAACCTGGGAATGGTGAGTGAGGGCAACCTCTGGCTGGCAGAAGCTGCTCATCTACCCCAGCCCTCTCCCCAGACTCCAACCCCAAACTCCTCCTTAGCTATGAGATAACAAGGGGATTTCTTTGCGTATGACTCTCCATCCTGTCTGGAGCCCAAACGGCATCGGCGGCCGTCAGAGAGCCTGCAGGGCTCCCCCTCTTTCCATGGGCTGCTCACCCCATGGAACAGTGCAGGATGCAGCTATGAAGATTTTTGTATCGAGCTGCTCCCTATTTTGCCTGCTAATTCTTCTGTGCACACATGGGAAGCATCGTTCCATACAGAAAGAGGGGCCCTCCTTCCAGGTTTCTCAAGGCCGGTTCAGGTCGCTTCCCCTTTCTGCCTGGTGCCTTACATCCTAGGACAAGCTGCGGGAAGGTGGCAGGGACTGGAAGCTCAGGGGTGTTGCGAGAAGCTCAGTCATGCTGGCGATTTTCCTGGGTGACGTTTGGCACAGGGACAGGCAGGTGCTGGCCAGTGTCCCTCGGCATGGAATCGTGCGGTTTTGCTCCTCTTTTAGAGCCAGCCCAGTGGGTACTGGGCAGGGGGAAGAGGTGCCCTAAGGAGGATGCAGGAATGGGCTCGGCTCAGACCAGACACCCTTCCAAGGGAGCGTGGCTCCCACCCACCGGATGTCCTGCCCCTTGACCCACTGGAGTCCGCAAATACTACCGGAAAGGATTTGCAGGAAAAGAACATTAAGCACCATTCCCTCCAAACAAAGCAACACAAATAAATACCCAAGGGATCTATTCACATTCATCTCAGTTTGCAAAGACTCTGAGGACGGATCCAGTGTGATGGGGAGATTTGGCAGCGTCGTGCCGAATAAATATCACTAAGGGAACCACAAAAAGCCTCCCCCGCAAAACATTCACATGGGAAATTCCAGTTCAGCCAGAAGAGCGCCAAGGGAATGCGGAGCTCCTTCGTTGTTTTAATGGGCTTTGGTGGAGGTCCCCAGTCCCCCGCCTCCTCCCCAAAGGCCCCACTGATCTGAGGAGGGGCTGCACGCAGCTCCAGTCCGACACACCACGACTCCCTCCTCCTTCCCTTCACGGGCAAGGAACGCGTTTCAGGGCCAAGATGGTTCCAGGCGTCTTCGCATGACCCGGGGCGCATGGAATGGGGCACAGAAAGAGAGAACGTGTGGAGGCCATTCCCAAGGGAAGGATGGGCGGGCTCAGCACTGCACGGCGTTCTTGTCCAAGCCCTGAGCCAAATCCACGAAGAGGGAGGGCCGCGGAGGGCCGTTCTCCTTGGCTTCTGCCTCGCGGGGCTCAGGGGGAGGTTCCACGGAGGCTTCCCTGGATCCCGGCTTGAAGCTCTCTGCTGCATTGGCTCGTGCAGTGATGTGCTCCCAGCCGCCCTAGAGGAAGCAGGGATGCGAGAGATGGCTTGACGGACGGGGAAGAATTCCACTGCAGAGAAGCTGGGCGGGGTTATGCCAGGGGGAGGTGGAGCTAAGAGCGAGGGGGCGGGGCCCAACGCAAAGGGGTGGGCCAAAGTACCAGCGTGCCTTACCTTAAAGCTCTTACTGCCCTAAGCCAAACCTTAGGCGAGGCGTTTAACCCTTTGAGAATGGCGGGGGGGAGGGAAATGGCACGAAAGCCAGGCGGCCACCAAACCGTCTGTAGAAAACGCCTACGGCCAGCAGGAGGAGGAGGGGCTGGCGTGCCACCGGGGCTCTGCTCCCCTTTTCCAAATGAATTTCCACAGCAGCTTCCCAGGATGGAGAAGCAGAAGCAGCAGTCAAAATACCAGGAGACCAAGGGAGGCACTGCGACAACACAGCCCTTGTTCTCACCCAAGCAAAGGAAGGGACTTGCCTCCCCGGTAGCTCTTAGGCCAGGATGGGATGAGATTGGAAACGACTCTTATTCATCGCATTTATACCCCATTTTTTCCTTTGGGGCAGTGCAGGTGGCTTCCATCATCTTCCTCCTCTTTGTGTGACCCCCACAACAACCCTGTGAAGTAGGTGAACCTGCCCAAAGCCACGGAATGAGTTCCAGGGCCAAAGAAGGACTCGAACCTGGCTCTCCCGTCTCACAGACCGGCACTGCGACTGCCACATCGCGCCGGCTCTCACTGCTATTACACTGAAGCCCCACTGACCCAGGTGTTATATTAGCGAAAAGGTAGGCTGCGTAGACTGCAACCGCTGGAAGGCAGCTGGATTCACCAGTGCAAAGGACAGACATGCAGCTTCGTCCGTTGCAGAAACACATCCGCAAAATGTGCGAAAGAATTGGGTCGGTGCAGCAGTCTCTTCGCGCTTATCTGGTGAAACCCAGACCCTTTGGAAGTTTATTCTCCAAAGCGACACCTTTTCTTAGCGTGCCGTACAGGGATGGGAGGTGTGGGCTCTGCGGGGGTTCGGGGTACTCACCCCAATGCCATAGTCCCAGGAGATTCCCTTGGGCTCCAGCGGCTGGACTCCCGTCCGATGACAGACCGTCCCACAGCTCAAGCTGTGGCTCCCCTGGACTTTGTCAGCTATCACCCAGACCTAGAAGAGAGGGGCGCAACGCAAGGGGTCTTGCAGACCATCGCTCCTTCCTACACAGCTCAGGACCTGCACAAACCAGTGTGAGCCCATCCCCAGCATCCCAGTGTGGAAAAAGGGGGTGGGCTGAGCCCAGAGGTGCTCTCCCTCCGTGTGCTTCCTGGGTGCTGACTGGGCGGAGAGGGAAAGCGGGGGCCCACGCGGCCAATGCGAGGATCTGCGGCAGGAGTCCCAGTCCAGCCCGTCCAACCAGGAGGCCAGGCGGCCTTCCCTGACCCGCCCCTTCTGCTTGACCCCCAGCAGTTCGGCATTCCCCAGCTTTTGTGCCATCCCTCTCTTTGTAAGGAGCTGGGGAGGAGATTTACACCGTGATGGTGGCGGCGATTCTATCAGCATTATTGATCTATTACACTGCACTCAGAGCCCATCTGCAAGCAGCCCAAAGCTGCTTACAAAGCTCCATTTTATCCTCACAACCACCACCCTGCGAGCAAGATCAGCCTAAGGGGGAAAGACCGGCCCAAAGTCACCCACTGAGCTTCATGGCCGAGCAGGGACTAGAATCCGGCTCTCCCGGGGCCCTGTCCAAAGCTCGAAACACCCCCCACCCCACCAGCCTACAAATATTTAAAATCTCAGGGGCAGGCCACAGCAGGAGAGCCCCCTGTCTGTCTCTGCCTCCAGGCCTGGCCTGCAGTGGGTTGCTGTGTCCCTTGAGCTGCTTCTCAGGGTTCGCACAGAGCACTAAACCGGGAAATGTTAGCTTCCCCACAAGCTGGACCACACTGAACTTTCATGCTGCCTCCCTTGCACAATCCAGCCGAGCCTAGAGTTAACAATTCACATTTTGATACTCTGGTGCAGGGAGAATCAAAATATGGGGCCTGCTCCAGCACAGGAGCACCATCAAATTAAAGAAAGCTAAAGGTGCTGGAAAAACCTTTTGCCACTCGCAGTATCTCCCAGGCAGCGGGGCGGGATCCATGGGATAGTTTCCTGTATAAACATGTATGGGGTTACCCCCTGGTCATCCCCTTCTGTCACAAGCCCTGGTTTCTTAAAACGCTGTCCTCAGACCTGGTCCAAGGGGCCGACGGAAACTTTGCGGACGTTGTTTGAAACGTGTTCCCAGCTGGTTCCTTGAGGGTAGCTTGGTGTGATGCCCTGACGATACCACAGGTTTCCTAGAAAGCACGATAGCAATCCACTCATTTGGAGTACTTATATAGCGTTAAGTGTAACAAAATCCCAATGCGGCTTACGTATAAGCACGTTTAAAAGATTCGTATAAAACCATACTTAAAATATTAATACATTGTTTTTAAAATGTAATTGGAACTGCTTTGAAAATTGTAGGATGTATCAGAACAGGCTAAGGAGGAGCAGTATGAGTAATTCAGTGCTGAGCCAGGGGAAGGGTGAACAAACAGGTTTTCCAGAGGGGTTTAAAAAAGGCCACCTTGCCATCAGCTGAAAGGTTTCCAAAGCCCGGATCCTGCCACCGGGAAGCTATTAAGCAGGCTCTGCCTCATAATTCAGAAAGGCCAGCCGAGTATATCAGGATGATTAATTACAGGCAACAGAATATAGATCAAGGTATATGAAGTATATAATTATGTGTGGAAGAGAACTGTATCAATGCCAGTACAGGTGGACAAGAGAATATCAACTCTGTTTTTGCACTGACTGCAATTCTGGCAAAATTTTTAGGCACAATCTTCTGTGTGTTTAGACACTGGCAGGACTTTTCTTTGCCCGAAAATACAGAGCATTGTGTCTTAATAAACCCAAGACTCCTCCCCATTTTGTGTTGACCCTGGAGGAAGAGGGGAACATTTCTCCTTGAAGGCGATTAGGAGGGTGGCTACCCGGAGAAGGGCCTTCTCTGTGGTGGCGCCCAAATTCTGGAATTTGCTCCCCAGACAGGTTCGCCTGGAGCTGACACACTATTCTTTCCATTGCCAGGCCAAACCCTTTTTATTTCCCCAGCATTTTACAGTTTGATTGTGATTTTAAGATGTTACTGTATAAAAAAACTTATTTGGATGCTATGCTTCGATCGGCTTTATCGTAAGACTGTCTGGAGACCTGGTAGTGGACGGTATATAAACATTTTAAATAAATAATAAAACCGTTGAAGGCAGACGTGACCCCAGTGTTACAAGTGAACAAGGGCAAAACCACCTCTCACCATTTTTGTCCACCACAAACACGGAAGTCCGTCCTACAGAGACCTGTTTGATCTTCTGCTTCGGTGGAGAAGGGATGTGGTACCAGCAGTCGCCTGTACGGGGGTGTTTGGAGAGAGCCCACAATGTTAGTACAACCAGCCAGAGCAAGTTTCGTCTTAGCTGCAAAGGCGGAAGGTTCAGAAATTCTCACAGAAACGCTGTTCGAGACAAGTTCACTCATAACTAACTTTAAGTCCCACTGATTTCAAGACGTCTGCAAAGGAGGACTAAATCTGAATCCAACCCAGAGCCTCCTAAAGCCTAGCCTGTTTCCACAGTCTTTTTCCAAGGGCTTAAGTTAGAGTTAACTCTGGATCGTTTGGATGACAAGTCTCATCATCCCCTGCTAGCACAACCCTGCTGGCTGATATCACTTGCTTTGAGGTGGTCAGTCTGTGTCAGGGCTGCACCAGTTCAGGCTGGAGCTGGGGGACTCCCAGGAATGCTCTTCTGCGTTGAATGAAACAAGTATTTCCCACTCTTGTGAATTTTCTATGTGTGGTGAACCATTTTGGCGGGGCAGGTTCAGAGTTGGGCCATGTTTGAAGTGGAACAGCCCAGGCACAAGTGGGCCACCAAGATGCAAAGAAGGCCACGGCTGGCCCAACATCTCATCTCTACAGACACAAAGACTGGAACAACGGAAGGTAAACCATAAAACCACCACTGAGTTACCTTCTGGTTGATTTGGGGATACCGAACCACGGTAGAACACGGAGCCATCTCGGGCAATGGCCCAGACCTGGTGAAAAGCGCCGATGGAGACCGAAACAAAAGGCTGGTTTGTCCCCACGTGTAGCCAAGATGTTCCCTGGGGGGAGAGAATAGCCGCCTTGAGACTTAGAAACAGAGTGAGTCAGAAGGGGCCTCCCGGACCATCTAGTCTGACCCCCGGCTGCAGCCGGCTCCACTCATGACATGCCTACCATGTGCATGTCCACCCTGTCCTTGAACACCCTCACCATTGGGGCTTCAGCCACCTCCCAAGAAACCCCATTCCATACCCTGGGGGTCCTAACCATTAGGAAGTACTCCCTGGCATCCACCGTAAACTTGGTTCCCTGAGCTTTGCTCCACTGGAACATGTTGGTATAAGCAGCATATAAATGCAAGTATAAATAAATACAATAAGGGGGTGGTTACAAAACTCCTGTGATTCCTGGGCAAAAAGACAAGAGCAGGGGTGTTGAACCCGAGTCCTGTAAGCCACATCCTGTCCCCCTGCTTCTCCAGCTCGCATCCCCTCTCCTCCGACTGCTGAAGGGCAGGTTTCTCGCTTTTGCCATTTTGCCTCTTGGACCCTCTATCTGACTCGCGCTGCTGCTTTAATTTGCAAACACTCCTTTGCACTGCCAAAAAGGGCAGCCCTCTAGACGGGATCAGAAAATCCTAGCTGGGTGAATTTACGGGACAATTGACCTGGCGTCTCTCCCATTGTTTGGTACTACATCTCCCATCACTTCTACCCACTGGCCTCCTGGCTGGAGCTCAGGGCAAACGTAGACCAAGATACTTCGCGGATGCCCGTGAATTACCCTTGGAAACTGCATGGATTTCAGCTGGGACAGGGAATTATTTTAGTGTGAAAGATCTGCCCTTGAAGGACCCTTGTCTGCAACCCCGAAACAGTGGGCTCCCTTGCCATGAATTACAGGAGCAAATTCACAAAAGTTAAAAACCCAAGTGTATAAAACCTAAATGTCAAAATGCTACAATGCTGTAGCCTTGTAAAAAGGCGCACACAACAACGAGCAATTGGAAAAACAAACACAATACAAACTACAGTTGAGGAAAGGATTTTACACTGCAATTTTAACTCTTTTCATTTAGATGGTTGTGTCTTTTCCGAATGTTAGCATTTAGATTTTATACACTATTATTGCGACACAAATGTCTTTTGTCAGGACACCCGCATTTTTAATATCAAACCATTTGAACTGTGCACGTTTATACCCCTTATCGCTTTTCTTAACAGTCTATATTTATTATATGTATTTATTTATATTTACTTCCTGCCTTTTTGCTACAAGGGACTCAGGGGGAGGGGGGGATGTCGAATCCTGCCCTGCATCTGTATCCTCACGACCACCCTTTGACCTGCGTTAGAGCGACAGTCGAGAACTGCCCAGAGTTGCTCGGTCCATCAAAGGAGGGCTTGAACCCGGACTCCCAGGTCCCACTCCAGCGCTTCCAGGCCATGCTGGCTCGGCGGCTTTTAAAGGAGCATCGTTTGTGGCGCACACAGGGGAGGAAAGAGGGGGGGTGGGGGTGGGAGAGACCCTTACGGCCGGGTTCTGGGGAGTGACGCACAGTCTACAGAGAACATCGCCCTTGTCACTGATGGCCCAGAGCGCAACAAACTCTTCCTCGGTGGCGGGCAAGCAGGGGATGATGGACACGTCCCACAAGGGAATTGGAGGGACTTCCAGCCAGGGTCCCGTAGTGACGATTTTACATTTCCTGGAGAGACAGAAGCGAGGTGGGGATGCGGGGGGGAAGAGGGGGGGATTTGTTTTAATGCACAATTTGCGTTTCAAAATGAAATGTTGACTTTAAGGAGCGTTCTCTCTAAACAGTTGGTTTATTGTTCCTGGGAACCACTATCTGAATCACTGCAAGTATGTGGCAGGGGGATATTTACGTATTTACAAGCTGCCAAGTAGCTTAAATTGCCTCACAAGGCAGCGCACAACAGTACAGGAATCCTTAAAGGCTGAGGCCAGATGCCGGCAGACAAATGCTCCTGAACTAAAGGCCGACCCAAGCACTGTTTGCAGAGGCGGGATTCATAACCGTTGGAGGCCCGTTGGGTCTTCCCCGCGCCCCAGGAACTCATGCTCCAGGGCCCGGCGGTCTGCATACGCAGCCTCAGAGACTAACCGGCAGCCAGGCGATGAATCGCTGTCACAGGCTTCCAGCAGTTAATGAAAGGATGTGTGTTTTACCGATTAGCAGAGCCCAGGCACTAGAGAAAGCGCATGACGCAGCACCAGCACTGGGCAAACACTGAAGCAGGGCAGCGAACGCGCTTTAATACGGAATGTGCGGCTGGGTGGGTGAAGCCGAAGGAAGGAAAGGAGAAGACGCTCGGTTCCTTCTCAGAGCTGACCAGACGCGTCTGAGTCATCTTTGCCTCTGCAGGGGCTAGCACCTTAACACTGGCCTTTGGTCCAAAGGAAAGCCGAGAGGCGGAATCCTGCAATTTCTGGGCAGCCCCATTACAATCGCAGAAGCAGGGGGCTGTATTGCCGAAACAAGGACTGGGAGGAGAGGCTCCTGAAAGGGTCATGACTGCGTTAGGCCCAGCACCTATGTGAAAAACTCTAATTATTTTAATTATGCCCAGCAAGATATCTATGGGGGTAGATTGCAATATCAAGCATTCCTTCCTCCTGCATGTATTTTTTAACCCTTCATTCGCTAGCCCGAACCATGAGTAAGGTGCAAACTACGCCCAAGTACTTTTGCTCAGTCGGCAGCAAGCAAAAATACACTGGAAATTTTGGCCAGCACCTTTTGATTTCAGCCCCGTGCAGCCCCTGGGCACGTCTCCCAAACTGAATCCAGCCCCTGGGTTGAGAGAGGTTCTGCACCCCCATTATAAGGGAACATGGTGGTGATCACTGGGGTGAAGCTGTCGTGATTAAGGGCACAATCCTATGCATATTCAGGCAGAAAACATCCTGCAGTTCCCACTCTGCCTTGGCTGAGAGGCTGGCTGGATGTCCTGAGAGAGGGAAGACCTCAATGATCTCCGCATCCTCCGACGTTCTTTAGTTTAAGTTCCAAAATGGAGCAGGGATGGATGAGAGGCACGAGGGATGCGCGAAGCAAAGAGGAGGATGTACGTGCAATGGCAGAAACCCCGAACCGCCTGAATGTGCCCGAAGTACGTTGGACGTGGAAATGTTTCACCTGGCCCAGCGCCTCCGCCGCACAAAGTCCTTCATTGTTTTGTGGCCGTGATAAGACCTGCCGGAAGAGGGAAGACAGCATCTTCAAGGCTGTCCATCAGCAGAGATAAGAATTCGCTTTTCTGTGCTCTTTCTCGAACAAAAGGGCTGCTTGTGGCACCCGCTCTGCGCACCAGGGCCGATGGGGTCAGCAAACGGACAGTGCCACGTGTCCCGTTACTGCTTCAGAGCCCTTGCAGCTTTAGTTATTTATTTAAAGCTTTCTTATACCGTCCACTGCAAGCGTCTCGGGATGGTTTCACGACAAAATAAAATAGGTCGCAGCAACCAAAACTTCCCAATAGATAAAACCCACATTAAAACCTATTACACATTAAAATAATGGGAAAATAGAAAGCTTTTGGCCTGGCGCCAAAAGGAATAAAGCATTGGTGCTAGGCAAGCCTCTCTGGGGAACGTATTCCACAGTCGGGGCGCCATCACAGAGAAGGCCCTTCTCTGGGTAGCCACCCTCCTGATCGCCTTCAAGGAGGGCTCCCAAAGAAGGACCTCTGCCTCTGATCTCAAGGGTGGGAAGGCACACAGAGAGGGAGGCGTGTATGAGATATTTAGGTGGAGTTTGGCCCCCACTGCCCAGAAGGTGCGTGGAAGAGACCGGGGCCTTCCTCAGCCAGCCCTCCCCAGCATGCGCCACATTCGGAGGAGAGGGAGAAATCCTTACGCTGGAAAATCCGCCGCATACTGCCAGCCTTCCCGATCTGTGCCTCCCGAAACACTGAAATCGATGTACCAGTCAGATGCCTGGAACATGAAAAGAAACAGAGAATTGTATGAAATGCTGCTCTCCGGGGAGGACCGACTCGGAGGCCTGAGGGTGCTTTGCTGGGGAAGATTTTAAGAAGCAGGTCCCTTCCCAGATGTGTAAGCCAGGGGACCTAACAGAACCAGCGTTCTTCATTTCCCTTTCAGAGCAGAGACGAGGAAGTCCAACGACCTGTTTGCACACAACCACCCTGATCAGGACAAGGAGGGATCGGGCCCCTGCCCCTCCTAGGAGCCCCATTTCCGGAACCGATTAAACGCACCCAGGACCACTGCGGCGATGGGGGTTTGGTGTTGGCTTTGGTGCGCTCCTGCAAGCCGGAAGCATCACTCCACATGTACCGATCCGTAGGCAGGCCCCTGGAAGACAGGGACAATGCTCGGCATCTAATTCCATACATGCTCCGCAAGCATCGGAAGCAAGGCGTTTAGAGCAGCGGCACCCACAACGGGCAGTAATCTTTACTCTCGGAACAGGCACACACCCCATCAGAAACCCCGTTGGCTTATGCCAGCCACCCCCACTTCTGTGCCGTTGTCCAACTTCTGTCGATACAATCTATTTGCTGGACTGGTGCACACTTTCAAGATCTAGGCACACTGTCCTGAAATTTGGGGCTGCCAGCTCTCCCCCCACTTCCCCACACTGGGTTCCCAAACCACACAGGTGTACACAGATAAATTGGACAGCATGCAAGAAAACAGACGTGTCTTCCAGTGACCGCAGCGCAACTCTGGAGCTTCATTCCATCCCTGCCCGATACAAATCCAAATGTTTTCTCTCCATGCACCCTCATGTGGTGAAATTTGGTATCTATCCACCCATCAGGGAGAGGCTTCCAGCTTTCCCTCGCTTGCTCATGCATTGGATTTAAGAGCTTGAACCGTCACAACCTCTGTCCCTCCCAGCTTCTCACATGCTTATATGGAGAGGCAGTTTTGCAAAGCCTGTGCTAAAAATGGGTTGAGAGACCTAAGCCACACGCTACCTGAAGGAGCGCTTACGTCCATATACGCCCGCCCGCCCCCCGAGATCTGCGGGAGAGGCCTTCCCCGGGAGCCCTCCGTGAAGGACATTAGGAGAGCAAGTACCCGGAGGAGGGCCTTCTCAGCGGTGGCGCCCAATCTATGGAATGCACTCCTCAGAGAGGTCCGCCTGGCGCCGTCGTTATTTGTTTTTCGGCGTCAGGCAAAGACCTTTTTATTCAAACGTCATTTTAATTGCTAATATTATTTGCTTAATTCTTCGGCCAGGGCGACTTATTTTATAATGTTAATGTGTTTTATATTTTTAGTGTTTTATATTTTAACTGTTGTTTTGTAAGCCGCCCCGAGGCTTTGGCGAATGGGGCGGCATAGAAATTTTTAAATAAATAAATAAATAAATAAATAATAAATAAATAAATAAATAAATGCTGTCTTGAATCCCAGTGAAATCCAGATGTTTTCCTTTCCTTCGGCATGTGCAAGGCCCCAATTGGAATTGGGAGCACCAAGTCTTTCTTGGAGTAGTTAAACTTTTCCACCTGGCTTTTGCCATTGACATTTGCCCTCGCCTCTGCCCTCGAGCTGGAGAAAACCAAAATCACAACTGGGAGCTTTCTTTTCTGGCATCCCCATGGAGAGCGGGAGCAGGATGGCTTCATGCAAAGCATCACAGGTGTTTTGACCACTGGCTTGCCCTACAAATTGAAACTGGAATTCAGGAGCTGAGCTCGGCATACGGGGCAAAGACATACCACAGCTGGCTGGCCAAGCACTTTTCTTTCTAGGGACACAGGACACTCAACCCCAAGGAGTTTCCCAAGAAAGCCGAGCTCGCCCCAATGGGCTGATCCCGAGAAGATCGGTCCACTTACCTGCTGCTGTATCCGGTGACCGGGTTCCATCGCTGGTTCTCATAAATGTAGACACACTTCACATCAGACTGCGCAAAGATGTTATCACTGCTGCTTGCCAAACCTGCAAGGACCAGTCCGCTGTTATTTCCTGTTTGTTATGCATGTCCCTTTTGTTTAGGGCTGAGTTTTTAACATTTTGTGGTGCTTCCTTTTCGTGCAAGTGCTGGCTTACGTAATGCATCGAACAGGCCACACAGTATGTGAAAAGCAGCACGGAGGAGCCAAAAATTTTGCCATGGCAAATGGGCCTGTAAGAGTCAAGCCGAGGGCTGTGTTACCTGAGAAGAAGCTTCCTCCATATCCACCTGTGTAGACCCAGGCGGCGTGGTCATAGCCCACACCCCAAACGATGCCACGGCTGTTGCATTCGATGAGTCGGAGGTGCCCCCCCACCTGGCGCCAGAACCTGTGGGGGACACGGGAATGTGCTCAGTCTCCATCCAGGATGTGCGGCACTGTGCCGAAAAGGTGCGCATTCGTTCTCTTTTGGCGCATCCTCCACAGCAGAAATTAAGGGTAGCATCCGCCTCTCTCCTCCCCACTCGTGTTTATTGTTAAAGGTAAGTTAAGCCGGGAGAGATGCCTTCAGTTTCAGGGTCTGGAAAAGACTTGGATGTAGGAGGACCTGGTCCTTGTCAGGGTCTCTAATCCACGGTGCAGAACCTTTTTCAGCCTAGGGCCGAATTTCATTTGGAGATGCACTGGGACTGCACTGCAGGGTGGGTGTGCCCCAAGGCAAACAGGGGCAGGCCAAAGGCAAAAGAGGCGGACCCTAAGCACCAGCACGGCGAGCAAGCCAGCCTGTTTTAGCAGTGGGGGTGCTGCGCAACAGCAAGGAAGTGCCCCCAGCCACTGGCAGCCGGGGAAAGGAGGCAAAGCCATTTTGGGAGCCTTGGAAGGCAAGGCAGGAGTTGGACCTCCTTGAGGTGCTGCACCCGGCTGTAACCACTACAGTGCACTGCCTCTCAGTGGACTATTGAGCTCTGGGGTGTCAGATTCGACTGTTGCTCTGTGCTGAAACAGGATGAGCTGCCAAGTTACCTAATCAGCTTTTTCTTCATTTCCCTGCTTTTTCTACTACAGCAATAATCCAGAAAACAATTTTGTGAAGCAACAAGCCCTCACCCCCTAGCAGCCCTTTTGGGACAGCACCCACACATTGTCTAAACATTCCCTATGTGCCCCTGTTTGCTACTAAGCCAGGGACTCCCGCTTTAAACCACACCTAAGATGCACCACGGTGTAGGGATCAGAGTGCGGTTTAACAAACGGCCCTCTTCCTTGCTTCTGAAGAGCAGGACTGCAGACCTCTTCCCCGAGCTTCACACCGTGAAGTTGTGGGGCTGGCTCTGGGGCTGGGCAACCCACTCTTGCAGGGACCCCTGAAGCTGCAGAATGGGACAACGGCCCACCCCTCTTCTCAGTCTGCTTTGCGGGCCCTCCCACTGCAATTCTGCCACGGCTTGCGGGACACGATGCACAAGAGAGCGCTCTCTCTGTCGCTTGGCCCACAGAGAGAGGCCCTGTCAGCAAGCGAGGATTAAGCCAAGGGTGCTTACATTTGGTCGCAGGGCACCGGGGACACCGCCGCCTCCAGGCCAGGGCTCGGCTCGCTCACGAAGATGTCTCCCTTGCAGGTCAGGGACCAGATGGCCTGAGGGGAGGGGGGCCCCTGGATCTGCCGGCTTTCGCAGCAGGACATGCTGAGCAGAGACAGCTGGGGGAAGCAAAGGTTTCGGCACAGGCAGAGGGAACACGGCATTTGCTAGTGGCACAATCCTCTCTCACCTTGATGGCCCCTTGCAAGAAACCCCAGCTGGATCACACAGTCCTCTGCCCATTTGATCCCCACAACAACCCTGAAAGGTAGGTCAAGGGGCCAAATGAAAGGAGCCCCACGTTCACCCTGGTACCCACAGGTGCTGTGGCTCATCATGGGTTAAACAACCCGTGGGTTAAACAACCCATGATGAGCGGCAGTGTCTGTGGGCACTGGGTTGAAGTTGCAGCCTCCTCCCGGGACCAAAATAACCCACAAGCTGCCCAGTGTCTGTAAAACCCTTTGAATCCTCCTCCTACAAAGCTTCCTAGGCCTTCTCTGCGGTGACACCCAGACTCTGGAATGTACTTCCCAGAGAGGGACGCCTGGCACCGAGCCTATCCTCTTTTCGGTGCTAGGTCAAAGACTTTATTTAAACAACATTTTAAAATCAACAGTTTTTAACGTTTAGTTGCTCTTGTTATGTTTTGTGATTTACTGTTTATGGTTTTGTTTTATACATTGTTTTGTTTTTAATTCATTTCTTGGAAATGGTTGTCTTTTACATTGTAGCCGTCCTGTAAGCCGTCCTGAGATTTTTATATGATAGGATGGCATATAAAAGCTTTTAATAAATACAGACACTCATTTTTATGAAAAGGCCCCCATGTGGTGAAAATGGACTTCTAGAGAACCCTTCAAGTTATTGGGTGGGGGGAATAGAAGTAGAAATGAATAAATAAGCAAATAAACAACCCCAGCGCTCCAAAGACAGAGCCTGGCTTCACTCGCAGTGCCGCGCGTTTCAAAGCGTGGAGCACTCCCAAGATGCCGTTGGTCCGTGAGCTCACCCAGTCGTGCATTTCTTGCTCCGTGGCCGCGGCCAGTTGGATGGGCCAGCGCTGCTTCGTTCTCTCTGCCGTGTACAGGGCAAACGAGTGCCTGGCTTCATTCAGGATTTCAACCAGGATGGTGACCTCGTTGAGGAACACGTGGACGTACTTGGAAGAAAAGCACATGTGCAACAGAACTAGATGGTATTAAACGGAGGGGCACCGATCGAAAGATTCAATCTGGGATTCTTCTGTTTTTAAGCATGTGGCGAAATGGAGTAGGTGCATCCTTCTGCCTTGGGCACCGCGGACAATGGTAAAGGATGCTGGGAATTGCAATTGAATTGTAGTTTACCAAACCTGAGTGCTTTAAAAAAATAAGCCACCATTCCTGGCTTGCTAGTAATGCAAAGCCAAGATCTAGCTGGAGCAAAACAGATGTCTGGTTTATTCTATTTCAGCAATGCTCTCTCACGGCCACGTTCCAAAGGAGAGCAGAACAAGGGGCCAAACACAAAGCTGCAGAGCCAAAAAATCTAGTATATTTTAGATATTGTGCTATCATCCTTATTAACTTTATTTCTATACTGCTCACAGCTGAAGCTCTCTGGGCAGTTCACAGCAATTTCTCACACATGCAGAAAAAGAAATGCAATAAAAATACAAATGCAATAAAAAACATAAAATTACGGAAAACGCACAACTTTAAAAGTTTAAAATTTCAAGGTACAACAAGGTAAAGTGGTCTAAAACCATTCAAGGAAACGAGACTTAAGAACTGACATAACTCAAACGTTTAAAGCTCGAAAGTCACGAGTTAAGCTCTTACATCACGAGTGACCCTCAACGAGGGTAAAGCTCTTATTGTCGATTGATTGATTGATTGACTGATTGATTTAAAACTTTTCCAGAGTGCCCCTTGTCATTTCAGTCTTTCAGAATCAGGGGAGAACAAGAAGAAGTTGGGAAGCCATCAAACCCGCAGCAGGTGGGGGAAATTAGGTGAGGTCAGCTGAGCGGATGCGACTGCACGAGGGTCGCAGGGGGCCCCGGGCCTGGCATTCCCCACCCTGGCTGTACCGCGACGTGCAGAGGCCGTGCCTCGCTCGTACCTTCTTCTCTTCACCGTGCGTGTAATAGATGAAGAGGATGCTGTCCCGCACACCGTCATTCCCCGTGAACTGCTCGAGGGCCACCCGCACATCCACCCAGCGGTACGGCTTCCAGTTTCTCCACCACTGCAAGGTGCCATTTTTCACCCAGACAGACTAGAGGCAAGGAACACACAAGGGAAAAGGTTGAGGAGACACCCTGAAGAACCAAATGCAATTTCATCTCCCGTTTTCTATGCAAGAGGATCGGCGCAAAACAACAATACCAAAATGGTGTGAAGAAAGCCGAGACCGGAGAAGCTCTCGGGCCTTCTCCTTTCCTAATCCTAGAACCCAGTGGGGACCACCCCACAAAGCCAAAGGGGGGAAGAATCAGGAGAGATGGAAACGGAAGGATGCCTCTCATGCCTTGTGGCTAAATTACAGAATGTTGGGGCATGAAATATTAACTTCAAGTATAAGCTGGTGGGAACTGAGTTAGTAGTCTCAGCCACCCCATTGGAAGCCGCCCCGAGGCGTATGTGAAGGGGGCGGCATAGAAGTTGTTTAAATAAATAAACAAATAAAATAGTGGCTGATGAAGAAAGAGATTTTGGGGTTGCAGGGATTCTGGGGTCACAGGAGGCACCGTCATGAAAATGCCAACTTAGTGTGCAGGTGCTGTGAGAGAGGTAAACTCCACCTCAGGCATAATTAGGAAAGGAACTGAAACTAAAAACTGCCAAGATCAGACTGTTCTATAAATCTTTGGTGCAGCTGCATTTAGTCTACTGTGTATAATTTGGGTTTCCCTTCATGAAAAGGGGCATTATAGCCTTGGAAAGGGGGCACAGAATGGGACTAAAATGATCCAGAGGCTGGAAGAACATCACTAATGAGGGACACTTACAACAGCTGAAATTGCTTAGCTTAGAAAAACGGTGAGCAAAGGGACACATGACAAGGTTGTAAGGACAAAATCGTGGGTTGTAAGGACAAAGTGGAGAGGGAAACATTTTTCTCCTTCTTCCATAATCCTAGGACCAGATGGACTCATCCCATGAAACTGACGGGCGGGAGGCTCAGGAGAGATAAAGAGAAAGGCGTCTTCATGAAGCGCATAGCTCAAAGAACGTGCTGCTAATGGGCAGCCTTCCAACAGATCTAATAAATAAATAAACAGCATAGAAAGAGTTCTTCTATGGAATTCCGATGTATACAGTTGCTGGGAAATTTGGCAGGAGGGGGCTGTTACACTCTTGCCCTGCTTGTATGATCCTGCAGGCAGATGACGGGGCACGGTGGGAACCTTCAGCCCGATCCAGCCCCAGAACCCTTCTTCTGCTCTAACTGCTCCAGCATAAAATGGAGCATCAGCAAGCAACCTGGATCACTTTGGAAGGCGCTGGGGCCCAGGGGCATTCTGCTCCCTGCAGCCCCGGGAGCAGTGCGCCCCCAGTGGATCGGTGGAGATCAGGTCGAAGGGGCTCCTCTAGGTCGCCTTGGAGGTCCTTTGGAAGCCAACTCCCCTTCCCGGGAAAAGGCAATGCCGTTTCGCCTTTACCTGCTCGACAGCCTGTTCGTAGTGCCGGAAGTTCTCCAGCTCCCGCCGGGTCCTTTCGGAGAGCTGCTGAAAGATCTGTTTCCGCCACACGGCGGTCTGGGCTGGGGTGATGGACAAGGAGAGGGACTGGCCAGAGGAGGATAAGGCTGTGACAGAGAAGGGGAAAAGCATTAGTTGACACAGAACTGCCATTTTGCTACTCGGACTGGGACGGGCACACGGGCTGCATGCAGAAGCCTGCACATCAGGTCCCTGAGGTCTCCCGTTAAAAATGCATCATGAAGCAGGCAAGGGGGAAAAATCTGTGCCAGAGACCGAGTGACTTGCTGTCAGCCAGTGCAGGCAATATTGGCCCAGGGGGGCTTTTGATCTGGTAAAAGATAGCGGATATTCAAGCAAAGGCTGGGCAACCACCTGCTACTGCAAAGCCGGCGCTGAGCAGGGGATGGAGGACACTGAATTAGATCAGCCTTGCCCACCTGGTGTTCTCTGCATGTGCTGGACCCTGGACCCTGGACCCTCCCCTGGCTCAGGGAGATGATGGGAACTGCAGTCCCATGCATCTGGAGGGAGGCTACCAGATTGGAACAGGTGATCTCCAAGGGCCCTTCCAACTCCAGGATTCCGAGGGCAGGGCCATGAGAAAATTCTTCCCGGCTACCTGGAGCTGCTGCCAGCAGAGCAGACTTGTCTTGCCCTGGAGCACTCCTCTGGTCACCCCAGGCGACAAGGAATTGCATGTAGGCGAGTCTACAAAACTGACGCAATGCGAACGCCCCTCCTTTGCATTCGGCACAGAAAACTCTGGATGGGAGGGTGCCCTGGGGCCGAGTGAGGGTCGACACCCACCGCTTTGGTGAGGCTAGGGACGGCACGCACCTGCGGGTGCCGTGAACCACTTCAGGCTGCTGTGCGACTCCACCAGGCAGCCTCCGCCGGAGACCCAGACCCAGAGCGGAGGCCCGTCTGCCACGAAGTGCTCCTCCATGCCCACGGACAACGTGCCCAAGGAAGACAGGCTCGAGGTCTCGGCCAGGGAGCTCGCGGCTGCTGCAGCTGACCGGCTCGCCTCCTTCAGGTCGATGTCAGCCCACTGCAGTTCAGCGGGACGGGCGTCTTGATTGGGGACGGGCTTCTCTGGAGCATCCCTGAGCCCTTCCGCCCGAGCAGGGCTGGCTTCGTCCAGAGGGGAGATAGTCGGATCGGCGACAGGGTGGGCGTGGTTGTTGCCATCTTCATGGATGCCGCGTCTGGGAACGTGGCCATCCCCCAGAGCCAGGGATGCCTCCCCCTCAGGGGGAAGCTCCCCGTCCAGCGGGAATATGGAGCTGGCTTGCTCTCTGATGTCATCTGTGAAAAAGTGGCCAGCGCTTTGGGGAGTGGGAGAGAGGGGCGAGGAGAGAAGGAAGGCAGGCCTCACATCACTCCTCCAGATGGGTAGGATTACAGCTCCCAATATCCCCAGCCAGTCTGGCAGGCCTGCCTTTTTGGTCCCTGCAGAGACAGTTTTACCTTAGAGTCCTCCAATTTAGATCAGAAGAGCAGAACCTCAGGTGTGGGCGGGGGGGGGGGCCTGCCGGATCCCACCCAGTCAGGCCTGCCTGGGGACCTCTCATTCCCACGCCCCCTTCCCTGGCTCCACCTCATTCTCCAGCCACGTATCACTCAGTGGCTTCCCAGCTGCTGTGGCATTTCTCCGCCATTCTAAACATCAAAATGCCCTGCCAAGGCACAGCGGTCTTAGCAGGGGTACTCCAGAAATCTCTCAGCCTCCGTTTCCTGCCACCCTTTTGAATTGTTTGGGTTTATGGGTACCTGAGGAGACTCGCCGAGCTGCCGGTCTGTGAACGGTCACTGTCTGTGCTGCACACGATCGCTTTCCACATCTTCCCGCTCAGCTCGCTCGGCGTGACGCCTTGGCGGAAATACACCACTCGGTCCTCGCTGCTGATTCCCCAGACCTGAGGGGGCAGGTGGAAAACATGAAGAAGGGCTTACGGGGGGTGGGGGGGGGGAACTCAGGGCAAACTAGATACATGTCCTGAGGAGAATGGCCTGGAAGCTACATGCATTTCGCATAAGGCCCAAACTGTGCATGGTTCCACAGATGTGGAAATGGTGAAGCACAACTTCTCATCGTTTCTGGCATTTGGGTGTGAAATAAAGGCCTGCAGAACTGCAAAATACATACATACATACATACATACGTGTGTGTATGCACCTGGCCTAGTTTCTCCGTTCACCATTTAGTGCATTAATTCCTCAGCCAGGACTAGAAACCTCAACCCAGTGTCCCAAGCATTGCACGACTGAGAACTTCTCCAGAGAGGAATTCAAGCTGGAAGAGTTTCAGCACCTTTGCCCTACGTGATGGTCCTGATCCATCAAGTTGCATCACAGTGTGGGGTCCTCAGGGATCATTTAGTCCAGCCCCCTGCTCCAAGCAGGGCTCTCCACTGAGGAGTAACGACGACGTCCAGCCAGTCCCGTCTAAATATCTCCACCAAGGGAGAACCCACCAGCCCCTCAGCCAAAGGCAGGCTGTTCTCCCGCCAAACAACGCTTACTATCGGAACATGTCCTCTAACGTCTAGCTAAAATCTGCTTCCACCCACTGGCTCCAGTCTTGCCCACGGGAGCCACGGATAACCTGTCTGCTCCATCTTCTTTCCAATATTTGAAGACCCTTCTCATGCAACCCCTTAAAACCTTCTCTGCTGCAGGCCAAACATACGCAGGTCTTTCAAGCCATTCCTCATAGGAATTGGTTTCACACCCTTCATCATTCCGGTTGCTCTTTCCTGGGGGGGCTCCAACTTGGTGTCTCCTCTAGAGCAAGACACCCATAACCGGACACAGAACTCCTAATGCAGCCCTATTTAATCAAACATGACCCCATAATCTCCACGCTATGCTTCCGTAAATGCAACCTAAGACCGTGTTTGCTGTTTCAGCTGCTGCATCGCACTTGCTGGCTCATATTAAGCTGGGGATCCCAAAAGGATCCATGTTCCTTTTTGCACCACATACTATTTGTGGTTGAAGCTGTCGTCTTATGCAGAAATATTTCAAATTTCAAAATCTGTATACGTGTGTGTGAAAGAGAGAGAGAGAGAGAGAGAGAGTGTGTTTTAAAAGAAAGTTTAACTCTGTGAAGTCCTTTAATGTTTTAATTTTGCCAGTTTAAAATTTATGACACGCCTAAACAAGATGCACCAGTGGTGGTGATTTTACTGGTTCGTTTTCTCGAGAGTCGTATGAAGAGTGTTGCATTGCCTGCCCTGACTAGCAAAACTCGACATGCCCCTCAGGACTGATCCGTCTCACTGCTTCGGCATCCATGCAAACCTGCCGCTTGCGTGCCAGGGGTCACTGTCCCTACGGGAGGCTCACCTGGTCATTCAGTCCTACGCTCACCATCGTCATCTCGCCAACCATTTCAATCCAGCTGGTGCCACAAGGATTGTGTGAATTCACACCTCTTCGGAACCAGACCTGAGACAAAAAGATACCCCAAATAGTGGTAAAGGCTTTGTCTCTCTGCAATAAAGGCCCCCCCTCATCTGATCCTGCAACTGGAATAAATTATTCAAAGTGACAGCATTTATACAAAACTGAACATTTCAGATCCTTGCCAGATGGCTTGTTTTCTCCCAACTTTTATGCATTTCCCCAGCATAAAAGGTTGAAATAGCTCTCCTGAGGATTTGTTGCTAGCATGAAGAGTGTTAAATAAAAAAAAAAAAAAGCTTTTTCTTGTTTTTTTTTTTTTTTTTTTGTAATATGGAGCCAGCTACTTCCCCTTTTGCCCTCTTCCACTGGAATGTGGCCACAGAAATTCTCTGAAATTGACCTTGGCTCTTGACTAAAAGAAAATCAGCTAGATCAGAAGTTGCAAGATTCTTGCATTGTACAGGGGAGGTTAGACTAAATTACCATCAAGATCATTTCCAATGCTAACGTTCTGTGGTTTCTTAATCATACTGATGATTTAGCAATAATCCAAAATATTCCTCTTCCTATTAAAACATTTTCCATTAGTTATTTTATAGCCAGTTTACAATCAAATGCCTCCCAGAAAGTGGCAGGAAGAGTAGCAGTTTCTCCTTGGTGTTTATCCCCAGTATCTGATAATCTCTGGTAGATTGCTCCTACACATGGAGGCTCCATTCTTAGCAGATAGTGTAAATAATGCTAATATGGCAGAATTATCTCTACAAATCATTTTTAAAATTTATCTAAGTTTGTGGTCAGCATATTTTGTGGCAGAAAATTCTAGAAGTAAGCTGGGTATAAAATAACTGTTATTTTTGTTTCTCTTCTCAATAGTCTATTCTGTGTTCTAATGAAGATTTAGAAAGACTGGAGAAGCATGTGCAGAAGGGAAAATTTCTTAGGAGAAGGGAGATACTGCTGTGGTCATGGGGAGCAGCTGGTAAGATTTCCCTGCTCTTCTTCATGAGGACTTGGCACATGGCCAGTACAACATGAAGGGAAAGATGGACTGCGACACCCAATGCCACTTACTTTTCTGTCCTTGGTAACTGCCCAAACCACATTTACACCAACAGACACATGCAAGATTCCATTCTCTGGCACGGGAGGCTCCACGATTGTCCAAGCGATTCCTGTCGAAAGTGAAAGCAGCGACATTCACTTAAACCCTGGTTGTGCTCCATGGAATAGAAAGATGCTGGTCTGCGGCCACAAACAGGACTTGCCCTGAGGGTTGTTCCGGTCGATCCCTTCCCGGATGATCGCCTGTCCTTCCCAAAGCGTTGCCCAGAGGAGGTCATAGGGTCCACAGCTGATCTGCACGGCCTCACCAGGGGTGGGGACGAGGGACCAGAAAGAACCTTCTGGGTTGTGGTGACAGACACCTTCCCTGTACCAGACCTGAGGAGCGAAAGAGAGCCGTCAGATGCTTTGCTGGGAGGGAAGGATCAGCAGAGCTGGCTGGGGTTCTGGACTCGCCTTCCGGGTGCAGGCTGCCGGGACAGAGCCAACAGTTCCAGCTTCCAGCCTCCGTGGCTGCTGAGGGCCAGTGGTGTATACTGGTTAAAGCATCGGACTGGGACTCAGGAAATCTGGGTCCCAGTCTCCATTCAGGCACGAACTGGGCCAGTCACAGATTTTCTGCCTTTCCTACCTTACAGGGTTATTGTGAGGATGAAATGGAGAGCAAGAGGCCTTTTGGGTTTCTTGCCAGAAGAACGAAGCAAGTTATAAAGACAATGAATGAATGAATGAACCAGTTCCAACATCTGTTCCCCATCCCTCCTTTGGACAATTCTTCCTTCCACCCAGAAGGCCTCGACCAGAATGGGAAGCTGTCTGCTCACTGCAGCCTGTACCACCTCGGCTGGAACGCACCATGGATCTCATTCCTGCAACAGCGGTGGCTGCGGACCAAAGTTGGTGGGATTTTCAAAAGGGGGTCCGTGGTTTCTCTGCCCCAATCTAAGCCAGGTACGCGTGGACAACTGTCCCTTGGTGATACACTAGAGGACCACGGATGTCTCCTGATGACAAAGCAATTACCTGCCCTTGCAAAGTAACGGCCCAGACGGACAGGCGTCCCACCGGCTCATCAGAAATCTCCCATCCCCCTACGGAGAGATCGTTGAAAGGGTCTGGAAGCTTCTTAGAGTCCTCCTGGGATGGAATCTGGAGCAGTGGGAGAAGAGGGGAAGAAAGGAAAGCTTAGCGTTATTCTTCTGTCGGCCTAGGCCAGTGGTGGCAAACCTATGGCTCATGTGCCGCATGCGAGCCAAGTCGCCCCAGCATTGCCCCAGCATCGCCCCAGCACCCGAGCATCGGATAAGAGCGCACACAGGGGCCATGCGCATGCCTGGAAAGGAGTGGTGGCGCCAGGCAATGATGTCACGAGCCGCAACTCACTAGCCACAACTCATCCAACCTTTTGCATGGCCAGTCAGTGCGCTGCCAAGGATACATATATATACATGTATTTGCTTGGATTGGCTGTGAGGTGTTTTTTCTAAATGAAAACCTCCGTTTTCAGGTTTTGTTGCCGTGTTGGCACCTTGTGATAAATAAGTGGGTTCTGGGTTGCAGTTTGGGCACTCGGTCTCTAAAAGGTTCGCTATCACTGGCCTAGGCAGTTGCTTTGAGTCGGGGTGCAAATCACGCAGCCCGTGAGCTGCTGATCGTCCCCCCAGCCTCTGTGTGGTGACCCACCACACACACACACAGATGGCTGTTCTGGGAGCTGGCTCTATGGTTCCTACCAAAAAAGCCTAGTTCCAGAGCATCTCTGGCAGCATCCTCAGAATGCTCTCTAGGATATTCCAGGCATGGGGCTTCCACGGCAGGAACCAGAAAATCTGTTCAAAGAGTGGCTTTTCCTGGTTTTTGGCCAGGAAAAGCCACTCAGGGCACAGAGGCTGGGGCCCCAGGATCCTCCGGGGAGGGAACAGGTTAGAAGAGGGGAAAAGACTAAGAGCCAGGATTCCTGGATGGGTTCAGAAGTTTTGGAAGGAATTTTGGTTTGATCTGATCAACGCTGGTGCTGGGCCTCTGAAACATTCCTGGGCATTAGTTTAGTTTGAGGAGAGGAGGGTGAAAAGGGTAAGGGCAAGACAGAGTGACGGCAGTGAGGGCGAATGGAGTGGGGACGAGGCATGTGTGAATTCCGGCAGACCCGTTGTGCTCCGGGACTGGGATCGTTATATCCAGATCACTCTTCCACTAAATCTTGACTGGCAACTTAGAAAAACATACAAAAACATAAAATAAAGCTCCACCAAACCCAGGAAAGTGCAACCTAAAATAGAGTCCCCCCCTGAGCAGAGGAAATGTAGCAACAGAAACAGAGCTGAATTAGTAATATACAATATTCTTTTAAAACTAGGAAGAATGAAGCTGTCTTCAGCCAGCATCCACAGAGTAACAAGGAGGATGCCTATCTGTGAAGAGAATATTCCAAACTGGTGTGCCATCACTGAAAGGGTGCGTCTCTCATGGCAGGTAGTACAGTCTTGAATCCACGTCATCACCTTCAGATATACCATAAAAACCAACCCACAAAAAGCTAATACCTTTGCCCACATATCCCTTGATCTGTATCTCCTGTATCGAATCCACCTTCTACGCCTCACACAGGAATTCCACTTCTTGTCTTTGGTGTAGGTGGCTGGGAAGTCGATGGCATACGTCCAGCCCTTAAAACAAAGGAATAAAGAACTTAAAAGGACAGCGGCAGAAAATGCCTTTTTCTCAAGATGCTTGAGGTCGAGAAGCAAAGCTGCAAACAATGCAGAGTAGCAAACTTTCTTGGCTTAATTACAAGGTTGCACTATGCTAAGAAACAGTCTTTCCTGAAGTCCCATTGTGTAATTCAAAACACAGAAGCCCTTTTGGAGGCAGCAAACCCAGCTTGCTAAATTACATTGTTTCTGATCTAGCTTTATTTTGATAAGAGCTCACTGAAACTAAGTCACAGTTTGGTCTCTGTTCAGTCAGAATGACAAAGAGGGCTTGTTGATTTTACGTGCTGTTAAGCCGTCTCTGACTTATGGAGACCCTGTGAGTGAAAGCCGTCCAAATGTTTATGACAACCCTGCTGAGTTCCTCTAAAATTTGAGACTGGGGCTTCCATGATGGAGTCCATCCATCTCCTAGTTTGTCTTTCTCCTCTTCTTCTGTCTTGGACTTTCCCCAGCGTGAGGCTCTCCCCCAGGGAGTCTGGCCTTCTCATGATGTGCCCAAAGAAGGACAGCCTCCATTTTGTCATTTTTGCTCTCAGGGAAAGCTCTGGCTTGACTTGATCAAGGACCCGCTTGTTTTTCTTTCTGTCTAGGATACCTGTAAAGTCCTCCCCCACTACCACGCTTCAAATGCAACCATTTTCAAAGACTCCATTAAAGGCAGGAAACAGAGCTTGCCAGAGGAAAGGCAGAGAAAGCTGATGTGGAATTACTGCAACACTAACCTTATCCCTGTAAAGGTGGGCTCTTTTTTAGACTTCACATCTGGCCTAGAGCTGGAGGTTTATCTCATTTATTAAATATGCAAGATTCAAATGTATATACTGTGTTTTACGAAAGTATCAAAGTGGACACTGTGAGATCTCAGTGCATAAATTGCAGGGAGGTCGGAGGGGATCTGGATTTGCTTCGCTTAGAAGGCAAAGAGGGGAGCACCATTTGGCTAAAACAAGAGCTTGGGCGTCGGGATTGAAGCCTTCGGGATTTCTCGGAGGGCCTTCCCCAACCTCCGGTGCACATTAGAGCTTCTGGATTTACAGCTCCTGTCAGTCCCAGCTGCAGCCCGAAAGGCGTCATGTTCAGGATGGCTGTGGCAGGATCATGATCCATACCAACGCATTGTCGCAGTGCGGGAAGGGCGAGAATTGCTCCACTGGGGTCCAAGGAGAAGGGGAAACACCCCCGGAATAGACACACCAGCAGGGGCATCCTGCCTCTAAAGGGAACTCTGCAGCTTTGCAGTTCCTGTGTGAAAATTCTATTGTCTAGAAAGACTCTTGGGCACTGTCACCCTGGGGCCAGCTTCCCGTCTATGTCTCTGAGTGCAAGGTGAAATGCCCCAGCAATGAACTTGCTAGCTGGGTGGGGGGACCCTGAGGGTTTTGGTGGGGGACAGCGTCACCATTCCCGTGCTAAAATAGCATCCTCTGAGAGCGCCCTTGGGCACCTTCGCCCTTCACGTCACCCGCTTTGCCCTCCATCTGAAGGCAAGGGATCTGAGCATACGGCGAACGCAAGGGGGTAACACCGACTCTACCCCGTGCGATAGAACTTTGCAGTTCGGCAGCAAGAGCATCGCCTAGGAAGGCCCTTGGGCATCCTCACTGCTCTGATGCAAGCACTGCCTCCCAGGCGCCCAGGAAAAGGTTCACTCCGACCCCCGTGACAGCAAGTATAACCCGCCAGCCCTCCCCGGAATATTGGATCCCTTTCAAGCGATGTTCACCTACCCCTTTCTCTGTAGGGTCCCCTCCAAAATTTTCATCCACATACCAGTCAGACTCCCACTCCCAGTGGGGCGACGGCAATGCAAAGCTTTCGAGGCTCTGGTGCTTCAGCCCACTCACGTCACTCCACTGCCAGCGGTCACTGGGTAAGAGCTTCTCGCAGAAGCCGATCACGGGATTCCAGCGCTGCCGGGAGAACATTGCACAGGGGGTTAGTGGCACGTTCTGGAGGGCAGGGGTCGATGGGTGACGGACTACACAACCCCAAGGGGAGTTCAGAACTTCAGTGGCACTGGTACAGACCAACAAACCCTAGCATTTTTCATGTCCATCAGAAGCAGGGTTTCCTATGAAGGTCTGAATTGCCTGTTCCAGACCCAGCTGCCCAGAATATGTTGCACTGCAACATGGAAAAAAACTACAAAGACTGGGTTAAGTATGGGTTGTTACTGAACTGTGGGTTGCTGTGGAACTGAGGGTTATTGTGCTGTCTGAACCCAGTTAAGTACAAACAACCTGTGAAGAACTTCTTGGCCTCTTCCAACTCTACTACTCTACGATTCTAAGAAAACCCAGATGATTCTAATCTGGCAGCTTGCTTGGTGGGAAGGAAGAGGTGAAGCGTGAACGGAAGGACAGAAAAGACTGCTGGCATCACCGCTGCCAAGAGCAAAGCTGAGCATCTCTCGGAAGCCTTTGCAGAGTCTCCCAAGCTGCACGCATGATCGCACAAGCCCTGGCCCTTGCAAAGACTGTGCATCTGATCCCAGTTCTGCAGGCAGGCAGCCACTTGCAGGACAACCGGGCTGTCTTCTACAGACAGGTCAGAAGGGGCAGGTGGGTCACTCCTAAAGATGGAGGTGGGGAGGGATCTGCTCTCCCCTGCAGAGGAGGGCAGGACGTGCCCCAGCGGAGCAAAGCTCAGGGAGCCCAGGATCCATTTGGAGGCCAGGAAGCACTTCCTGCCAGTCAGGACCCCGAGGGTGTGGAATGGGTTTCCACGGGAGGTGGTTGAGGCCCCATCGGTGCGGGTGTTCAAGGACAAGCTGGACGTGCACAGGGTAGGCATGTCGTGAGTGGAGCCGGGGGTCAGACTAGATGGCCCAAGGGCCCCTTCTGACTCACTGTGCTTCTGTGTTCCTGTTTCTAAACAGTAGGTTTAGACAGCATGAAGTCCTGCTTCCTGTGGTCTAAGCATGCTCAGGACTGTCTTAAATGTGTACTATTTTAAAGATGCCTTTGCTGATTTCGGTTTGAAATAAGCCGCCCTGATCCCTGCTTGCTTGTTTTGTATGCACATTCAATCCAGAGCTCTCACACCTTTTCCCTCACCTGATTCTCATAGGTTTCCTCCTGGTAACGAATAGGGACGTCATTGGAGTGGATGTAAACATAAACTTGATGGTCGCATGCCAGGCCCCAGGAACACGCTTTGACAGCAGAAACCCGCTTGAATTCCAGCTCCCCATCCTTGCACAGCTCCCAGTACTGGCCAGTGGCAGAAAGCGTGTAGACTCTGCCAAAGATATCAACCGCCCACAGCAGAGAACTGGATGTGGTCATGGCTGAAAGACAAAATCAGAGGGGTGTGGGCACATGGAGGTAGGAGTAGCATTTATTTTACGAATTTTGTATTTCATCTATAAAAGTGTAAGTCATCTTTTGGCCCAAATAGGATCCCGTCAAGCAATTCACAAGTTTGTTTTCCTTTCCCCTCCCCATCCCCTTTGATTTATTTATTTGAACATTCTGTATACTGTCCCATCACTGATGTCTCGGAACGGTTTACAAGAACACCAATAAAATAGGATAAAGAGATAAAAGTAGCACAACATCCAATAATAAATATAAAACCACAAATCAAGTCAATTAACAATTAAAATACTGGGAAAATAAAAAGGTTTTCACCTGGCGCCAAAAGGAAAAAAGCACTGGTGCCAGGCAGACCTTTCTGGGGAGCGTGTTCCACAGGTGGGGTGCCACTGCAGAGAAGGCCCTCCTCCGGTAGACACCCTCCCAATCTCTTTCAAGGAAGGCTCCTGAAGGAGGGCCTCTGCCTCAGGCCCCATCGGTGAAGGTGTTAAAGGATAGGCTAGACATGCACATGGTGGGCATGTCATGAGCGGAGTCGGCTGGAGCCAGGGGTCAGACTAGATGGCCCGGGAGACCCCTTCTGACTTGCTCTGTTTCGATGTTTCTAACCTCTCAGAGGGGAATCCTATGAGGAAGAGCCTGCAACATGAGGAAAGTGGAATGATAGCTGCTCTGGAAGCACTTGGAAGGAATAAAGCCCCCAGAGTAGAGGGGATGCCAATAGAACTTTCAAGGACTGAATTGGTCCGAATCTTAAGAACAACAAATATGGAAAACAAACAATTGTTGATACATGGAAATGTTCAGCATATATTCCAATCCTCAAGAAAGGAGATGCGACTATAGTGCCATCAAACTCATTTCCCATGCAAGCAAAGTGATGCTTTGCTTAAGGTGCTGCAAGGAAGAATATTATGGTATATGGAGAGAGAAATGCCTGGCATTTAAGCTAAATTCTGAAAAGGAAGTGGCACTCAAGATCAAATGGCAATGATATTTGGGTTACTGGAGTGCCGCAGAAGGCTACAGCAAAGCCTTTGACTGTGTGGATCACAAAATGGTCCTGAATTAGTCCTTGATTGTCCTGATGCATATCCTGTATTGTGGACGGGAAGCTACCGTTAGGGCAGAATATGGAGAAACAACATAGGCAGAGGTACCAGTGAAAAGCACATTTTATCTGTTGAAACTGCACACACGACATTTCATATGGAAAGCCGGATTGGAATCAGAAGAAGGAAGGGTGCAAACTGGCGGATGACACACCAGTAATTTAAGATAAGCAGTTGGTGCCACGTTACTGGCAGAAAGCAGCATGACTCCTGATGAAAGTGAAAGAAGGCAGTGCAAAGGTAAGATAGAGGCTGACCATTAAGATAACAACAATTATGGCTATGGAGCCTTACAGAACTGTACTGTCAACAATGAAGAACTGCCCATTGTGAAATCTCTTGTGTTCCTTGGCTGCGTCGTCAATCCAAAAGGAAACCGCAGCCAAGGCATTCAAAGAAGGAGGAAACTTGGAAGGGCCGCAATGGAGGAACAAGAAAATATCGGCAAGAGAAAGGACAGCTCACCGGGAAGCGAGGCCAGATCACCCACCTGCTGTATTCCCCATCACTCCGGACGGCTTATTGGATAGGTTAGCCTACCTCATTCAGTCAATCGGGAAGGAAATCGACCCCGACTGCTCTTTAGAAGGCCAGATACTGAAGATGAGGCTCAAGTACTTTGGCCACCTAATGAGAAGGAAGGACTCCCTGGAGAAGACCCTGATGCTGGGAACAATAGATGGCGAAAGAAGGAGGGGACGGCAGAGGTTGAGGTGGCTGGATGGGGTCACTGGGGTGGCGAGTGTGGGCTTGGGTGGACTCCAGGGGATTGTGGAGGACAGGAAGGCCTGGAGGAAGGTTGTCCATGGGGTCGTGAAGGGTCGGGTACGACTTTGCGACTAAACAAACAACCACAAGAAAGGCTACCTCGTGGGTTTGCTGTGAAGATAAAATGGGACAATGTGGGTTTTTAAAGGGCGGCGGGGGAGGGGAAGAAGCCCGCAGTTAGAGGGCAGGGAGGAATCCGTCAGGTTAAGTTTCGGAGCAGGACGCCAAAGGATGGAGCCTAAGGCTACAATCCTGCGGACACTTTCCCTGGGAGTAAGCCCCGCACTGAGCAGAGGGGTGGGAAGAGTGCCTCCTGGGCAGCCCCATGCGTAGGCGTGTGCTACAAGCGGCCACATGCGCGGATGCAGCTTGCAAAAAGCACGGGATTAAGAGCAACCCAAATAACCCTCTTTGCTCCTGCGGGTCATGTGCGGGGCCGAGGGAAGGACTCTGACGCGGGGGGGCCCAGCGACACACCGACCTGGTATGCTATCTCTCCTCCGCAATACCCGAAAAGGCCCCCCTTGCCCGGGCCCCCTCCCGGGCCCCGCCCTTGCGATACCTGGTCGTCCTGCGCGATCGCCGATCGCCGCCACCTCCGCGCCCCGCGCAGCGCCAGCGCGCAGCCCCTGCGCAGCGAGCGGCGGCGGAGCCGAGGACGAGGAAATCCAGGCCCGGAGGATCTCTCCGCTCATTGGCTGCGAGGCGCCAAACTCCCTGCTCCCATTGGACGGCGAGAGAATCGAACGGATACACGGCGTTCTATCCCGAGTTCTCCTCGCCGGCCGGGCGGCCCACGCGGCCAGCTGTTCGTCGCGTGTCGCGCGTGGGCGGTTTGCGTATCGTAGGAACGGCGGCGACATCCGGCTTCCTGGTCCGGCCTTTCCAGCAGCTCGTTGCCTCGCAGCTCCTCGGAGTCCTGGACTTCCAGAGGAGATCGAGCTGGGGGGGAAGCCAGGAATTGAGTCCGGCTGTGCCCTAACGCGTTCGAAGGGGTTGCTGGGTCGCCTTCGGGTTATTTATGTATTTATAGGCCGCCTTTCTCCGGCAAGGGACTCAATACGGGTCACATAATCCTCCTCGTCATGTTATCTTCACCACAACCCTGTGAGGTGGGTTAGGCTGAGAATGAGTGACTGGTCCAGAATCACCTAGTGAGCTTCAAGGCCAAGCTGGAACTAGAAGCGGAGTTCCAGTCCAGCACTAGAAACACTTTATCGCTCTGCCTCTCATACATTACTGGCGGTTCAGGTGAATTCTGTGTCTTACGGCCTGTCGTGGCCAGTTGAGTGAATAATCTGAAACGTTATAGTAGTGCTGCTGAAACGAACTGGTAAGTCAGAATGCATTATATAGCAAGAGGACGGCATACAAAAACTTTAAATAAATAAAAAAATAAAAACGCATCCATGTGCTTTTTTGATTTTGTATTGCTACGTGTGGGTTGTGAATCGCTTTGGATGCAGTGTATGGAAAAGTGGCATACAAATTCAAAGTTGCAGTGAAGATGATTTCTAAGTGAAGAACGCTGGCAGATCATGTGAGAAACAGACGTTTCTGCAGATGTGAAGGACAGTGTGTGTACGTGTGTGCATGCGAGATAGAGAGAGGCAAACAGATGAGTTGCTTGGAGAGAGGAGCATCTGTGGGTGCGGGAGAATATCTCTTGGGGGAGCTGATAGGAGATCAAGCAGCCATCCCCAACCTGACGCCCTCTAGTTGTGTCAGACTGCAGTTCCCACGACTGCCAGCCAGCTGGCTAGAAAAATGGGAGTTGTGGTCCCTCGCATTTGGAGGGTCCCAGGCTTGAAGGGGTCTTAGACACAGCTAGCTGGCCTTCCTCTGGTATTTTCATACCAGTCCAAGCCTTTTCTCTCTGTTTTCATTCAGACTTACACCCAGGTAAGTGTGCATAGGATTGCAAGCTTAATTACTTGTGGGCTCAGGATGTTCTCTCATCTTTGTGAGGCTAGATTTTTATTTTTTGGAGGAAATGTTTGTTTATCAGTGCAGGAGCAGCACGGAAGTGAAGCATCTTTGGACGACCTTCAGGGCCAATGCGTCCTAGCAGGGGCTCGTGGGGGCAAAAGCTTTACCTGGACTTCGGCTGCTGTCTCCCCAGAGCGGTCCTCACCTGCAGCAGTACAGCTGCAACAGGTTGGGACTAAACTTTGGTGTGGTTCTGATGGGTGCCCGGATCACCATATTTTTTCTTCATTATTGCATTTTTATTTCTATCCCACCATTTTTCCTCTTGGAAGAAACCCGAGGCCTTCCCTGGTCTTCTTCCCGCCAGTTTTATCCTCACAACAGTGCTATGAGGTAGGTTAGGCTGAGAGTCTGTGACTAGCCTAAGTTACCCAGTCAGTTCTATGTCTCGGTGGGGACTAGAACCTTGATGTACACCAACTGGAACCTTACAGAGCCAGTTAGGGCCCTCCGTTAGCAGTTCTAAGGTGCCTGTGGAACCACTGTTTGCTCCCACCTTTTGCTGAGCAGCCCTTCAAAATGTTTGAAGATTAAACCTTTTCAGTCTAATCTTTTGCTAGCTATGCAGCCTCAATTGTTCAGCACTGGGCTTAGTTTTCTGCCACTTCACCCTCCTGGTAAGCTTCTGAAATCACGTCAGCTGTTGCCCAAGAAAGTCATATGACGAGACTTGCTTATTGTCGGGGAGGAAGCGAAGAGAGGAAGGATCCAGTCAGCCTAAATTAGATTTTGTGTGTGCCCTGAGATTGTGTTACTTTCGATATTCCAAAAGGGAAGTTTCCTGTTGATAGTTCTTTGAAGTTCAAAGTTAGACACAACAGAGGATTAAACATGGAATCTGTTGCTTATTTATAGCCCACCTTTTCTTCAAGGAACCCACGGGAGCTGACATGGGCCTCTTCTTGCTGTTTTATCTTGTCAAGTGACGGAGCTCTCAATCGTGCTGCCAGGGAGAATCCATAATGGCAAACCGATTCATATCCACAAGCTGGTTCTAGGAATTTTCAGCAGCAGAAGCAAATCTATTGTAAAATAAAGGGGTCTCCATCCATCCGTTTATTTATTCCATGTCTAATAATACCCACCATCCAAAGCTCTTGGGAAGATGGCAAAGATTAAATGCAAAATGCTAGGCATGTTTAGTTAGAAAAAGGGCCTACAAGTTCCAGCAAGTTCTGTGACATGTTTTGTGCCATCACGTTGCCTCCACCTTAGGAATGAATGTCCATGATATTTCAGCCTAGCTATTTTATCCCATTAAAGTGCAAAAATATAATTATAAGCACAGCTTAGGACTGATTACCAACTTTTATTGGTAATGATACCAATAATTATATACCATCAAATGCCTGGGAGGAGATACTGTGTGTTTACTCCAATGCTTCAGAAGTGTAGAAGTGCTTCTAATGTATGGAATTGTGGCAGCTTGTGAGGTTGGGGAGCTGAGAAAGTTAACGGGAACTGAAATAAATCTGACTGTCTAAAGCAGACCTGGGCGTTGTACGGCCCACGGGCCACATCCGGCCCGATGGCTGACCCTGACGGGCCCACATGAGGTCACTGGCAAATTAAAAGTCAATGCAAATATATATCGTCGTAATATAGATTTTTATTTATTAAAACATTTTTATGCCGCCCCATTCGCCGAAGCCTCGGGGCGGCTTACAACAATGCAAGCAATACAACTGCACTGCTTTTATTATGAAGGATCTGCTAAATTGAATTGAATTTATTGCTTTTGACGTAATGTTAATGTTTTTGTGAATATTCATTAAATAGTGTTGTGCTGTGCTCCACATTTTCATTGTATCATTGTAATGTTGCATTTACTGTTTTTATAGAGAGAGATATTGAGCAGAGCTGTAAGTGTATTGGTCCGGCCCTTAACAACTGTCAAAGTTTCTCATGTGGCCCCATAGGAAAATTAATTGCCCATCCCTGATCTGAAAGCTCATGGGGTGTGGTGTTTCCAAAGTCAGTGGGGTGGTGTGTCCACTCTGGCTTTTCACCTGAACTTTAACAGAATGATCCATGGTGCCAACCCTGCCCCCCCATAGGTTCAGCACCATGTGTAGCTCCTTTAAAGTTAAGACCAAAATCTGGAGTGAATACACTGCCCCATTGACATTGAAAACACCAGCCACTGTTGCTGATGGCAGAAGGCTTTTAAAGTCTAAGGCCTAAAATTATGGAGTTCCACCATGGAAGGAGATGGAACAGCACATTTATTAAATGTGAAATGTAGGAAGAAGAGCGTCTTGGCTGAAAAACCCTAAAGAATGGCTCAAGGCCAGAGCAATTCAGTATTATTGTTTAGAATGACCGGATCGAAAAATCATTGTACATCATCGGCTGGATGATGTCCAACCTCTGGTAGGCGTGGAAGAAGATTATATTTAATTATAACAGCGGTTAAGAATTTAAAAATTATATTAAAATATGCCATTTAATAGAATAAAATGTCTCAGCGGTACATATGGAAAAAATAATCATCACATTTTAAAAAGAACCATTTAATCCTGGGGAAGAGGAGGTGCCCTGCTCTCCGGCCCCCCAGGAAGGCGGGGGGGGGGCTGGGGCCAGGGATGCTCCATGGTTCCGGCCCGCAGAATCGTCCAAAGAAGACAAAGCGAAGCGAAGCAAAAGCCTCCATCGCCAGCTGCGAATCCGCACGTGCGCCAAAGCCCCTGCCTACGAGGCGTCTGTCTCCCAAGCGCAGCGGGGCGTTTGGGTCCGGGACGGGCAGGCGGAGCCAAGGCCGGCGGCCCACGGGGCGGCGGGGGCGCAGGAGGGCAGCCCGCGGGGGCCCCGGACGGCTCACCCGGCGAGGTCGGGAACCGCGCAGCCCCTCGCATCTGGCGCTCGCAGGGCGCGGGGCGCGGCTCCTTTAAGAGGGGGTTCCCCGGGTCGCCGCCAGGGGGGGCCGCGCGGCCGCGGGTCACGTGCCCGTCAGTCTTGTGACCGTCCGGAGAGCAGCCGCCCCGGGCGAAGCACGTTGCTGCTGCCGCCGCCGCCGCCGCCCGCCCGGCCGGCCGCCCTCCCTCCCGCCCGCGGGCTCTGCGTGCTCGGAGGAGTTCGGGGCTGGCACTTCCCGGCCAGGCGGCGGCCGGGCGGGCGGGGCCCTCCGGGGCGGGTCCCAGGCGTCCCCGGCGCCTTCCCCTTGCGTGCGCCGGGCGCAAAGGCTGCTGCTGCTGCCGCGGCGGGCGGACGGGCGGGCAGAGCTCGGGCTCGCGGAGTTGCGCTCGGGCGGGCGCGTCGCCGGATCGGCAGCCGCGCGCGGCGGGGAGGTTGCAGCGGCAGCGAGAGTAGCAGCGGCCGCGCCGCCGCCGCCGCCCTGCCGTGAGGATCATGGACAGCAAGCCCCTCCTGCACGACAGACCGCCCGCCTACAGCCCCGCGGGCCAGGCGGCCAGCGGCTACGACTACGGGCCCCGCGGCTACGGGGCCATCCCCGCGCCCCAGGCGGGCTTCCAGCCGCCGCCCCCCTACGCGTATCCGGTCGGTCCTGGCGCAGGTAAGCGGGGGGGGGGGGGCGCGCCGCGGGGGGGGGGTGCAGAGGGGGGGGGGGGGGGGGACCGGGGGGGGGGCGCGTTCCTGACCCCGGGGGGCTTCCAGAGGGGCGAAGGCCGAGTGGGCTCCTAAGGCAGGTGGGCTTTCCTTGGCCCGTCGCCGAAGGGAGGGTGCTTCCGCTCAGTGCTTGCCATGAGTGGAGGCAGCGAGGGCAGAGTGCCTCTGAGCGAGGGCAGAGTGCCACTCCCCTTGCTTCTCAGACCTCCTAACTGACAAAGTAGTTACTCGACTTTGTAGGGGGGCAGCAGCCGTAGGGAAATTGGCATTAGAGGAGGAGCGGAATGGGGAGCAGACTTGACGTCCTCCTTTTGTCCCGCAGAGTTGGAACTTTATTGTGTGTTAGGTGTGCATTGTCAGCTGTCCCCTACCAGGAATCTGCAGGGTCAAAAGAAAGAATAAGATTCCGTGCGTTGCAAAGAACTATACTTTCACTTCCCCAAGATAAATGGAGCTCTGGGTTGTCTTTAGGGAAGTTGTTTTGGGTGTTAATTGTTTTGGGTGCTAGGGAGCTATTTCCCTGTTTGTTTCCGTGGATCTGGCTCAGTTGCACCTTTTGGACTTTTCCATCTTCTATATAGGAGTGGAAGGAGCTGATAGACAGCTTTGGCCTGTGCCACTACTTTCAGGAGAAAAAAACAGGGAAAAAGTTTAGAGCTGTTAAGCAAATGACGTTCGAGGTTTCTTTTTCCATTCCTGGTTGCAGAGTTTCCTAGGAAAACTTTTCTGGTGTTTTATTCTAATGCCTGCAGTCTTGCCTTTTAAAAACTTTTTAAAAGGGGTCACTGGGCCAGTCTCTTGCCACAAAAACACTGACTAGCGAGGTTAAGGCCTGTGAAAGGGCATCTTTTTGGCCACTGGGGGAGCCAGGATGCCCCGTTAATTGTTGTTTTGATCGTCAATTGTTGTTTTGATCGGCAGGGGCTCTCCAAATGGTCCTGTGCCAGTTTGTCAATTTCCTTGCTCTGCTTTTGACAGCAGGGGGTGAAACTGACGGTCCTCCTTTCCTCCTTTCTTCTCCCTCTCCAAAAGTGGTAGATTAATACCGGAGATGGTAAGCATGCAGGGTCTGGTAGGTGGAAATTAGCAAAACGATCACTAAAACGTTGCTGAGGATGGGAAGAGCAGTATTTTTTTAGCAGCTGGATGGTGGTTTCGTAGGAGTCTTTCCCAATCTGGTGCCATCCAGAAGGGTTAGACATCCCTCAGCCAGCCATTCCTTCAGGAGGAGTCTGGGAGGGGCAGCCCAGCACATCCTGAGGGGACTGGATTGGGGAAAGTCTGTCTTGCAGGAATCCTTTTCTAATCCTATCAGTAGTGAAGCCTCTCAGGCATGGATGGGAAGCCTGTGACCAGCTCAGATATGTTGGACTACAACTCCCATTAGTCCTGGCCAGCATAGCTGAAGGTGAAGGATGATGGTAGCTGTAGTCTGGTAGCTTTGGCCAGGGCAACTTAATTTATACTGTTAATTTATATTAATTTAAGGAAGTTTATTTATGGATGTGAGCCGCCCCGAGGCTTCGGCGAATGGGGCGGCATAGAAGTCTCCTAAATAAATAAATAAATAAAATAAATAGTCCTACAGCTGGATGGTGACATGTGCATCACCGCAGTAAAGTTTTTTTTTTCCCTTCCTCTTTCCTCCAAAAGTTTTATTTTTATTTGGTGCAAAGAGTGGTTTTGTTGCATATATCTAGTGATGACTGAGGCATCATCCAGTTGGTTCTTGTGATACTGGTGTCCTCGAAAAATGCAGTCTCTCCTCCTGGAAAAAGCAATTGGTTGTTAGAACTATGGCAAAAGGAAGCACTTCTCTTTCCCAGTTGAAACATTAGCTTCAAGGATCATGCTTTCTTCTGCAAGGAAAACATAACCCCTAGAAAGGGTATTTCTGGACCATGAGAGCAGGACAGTCAAGTTCAAGAACTGGATCGTGGGTTCTCCAAGGTGGAGCAGGCAGAGTATCGATGAGGATTTGGTAGGATTGCTGTTGATCCTGAAGGGTTTCTGTCTTTACAGAGAGGAAGTGGATGGAAGGACAACCACAGTAGTGCTGCTGGGATTGGCCTTGCGCTAATTGCTTTATCTCTTAGCTCTTTGGTATTTCACATCCGTAAAAGAAAAAAAAAGTATTGATTTCCTGCTTCAGACCAGCTTCTCCTACAGCTCTGTGGCAAGTTTTAGAGCAGTACACTGAAGTCCTTCATCGGTTGTCGGCGGTGTGTAGATTCATATAGTTCTTGGTGCTTTAGATACCAACGTTGCACCCACTGAATGTCCACCTTGTGTCTGGCTGTGGTTGGCAATTGAAGTTAGAAAACTTTACGCCATTCAAAGTTAAAAAGCAAAACAAGGCCATCAGAAACTGAATTTCACTAGGATTTCAGGCAGAGTTCCTGCCCAGCTGTAACTGGAGAGGCATGTACTCCATCTCCAGCAAGCCTGAATGCCCTGCATTTCTTAATAGTAATCAGTGATTTTTTTTAATGCTGCCCCATAGCTGAAGCTCTCTGGATTTGTTCGTGCTGCAAATCTCTCTGGCACTGTCCAGTTCTTTGGGCTTAACTTGGGAATGCTGTCCTAGAAATACCCTTTCTGGCAGTTACGTTTTCATTGTAGCTCAGTTATCAGAAGGAAACATGGTACTCTCCCCTTCCCAGCTAATGCGAATCTCTCTATTTTTTTTCCTCATGCAAAGAACCAAAAAGAGCTTATGTGGGCCACCTCCTCTCCATATGTATGCCCACAACAACCCTGTGAGGTAGGCTAGCCTGAAGGTCAGCGACAGGCCGAAAGCCACCCAGTTGGCTCCATGGCTGAATGGGGACTAGAACCCGGATCTCCTGAGTCCCAGTCCGGCTCTCTGACCTCCTCACCAGACTGGCTCTCCGTGTACTTAGGCAGCCCTTCAAACGTATGTCTTGTAGTGCCTCTGCCCTTCATCCTGGGAAATGCAGGTTTGTCTCTTTTCCAGTTCTAAGGCTGCCGCCTTCTCACGCAGGCTGAGCCATGGTGCAGTTCTTGGTTGCCTGTAGAATCTCTGCCTTCTTCTGAAGGATGCTCCATTTTGCCGGCATTGGATTTGTCTCATTCTCCCAGTGTAAAAATAAACAGGAGCGTTTGCACAACACCATACGCCGCAGTTTATGGAAAAATAGGCTGCTCCTGGTCTACTTGACAGATGACTGGACACACACTAAGAAGACATGGCACACGAGGGGAAGGGATGGGGAGGGTAGAGGAAAAACAAGCCTTTTAGCTCCAGTGTCCCACTCTTTGCTCTCAGAATAGGCTGTTGGAATGGCTGTGGGTGGCAGAGCGGAGGGAGGTAGAAGATCATGTGAGTTCCTGCCTAGTTCCAGGAAAAACAACCCCCTGCTCTGCGTAATCAGTTTAGCCTGCAGTTCGAGGAGGGAGGGAGGGGAGAAAAGGGGGGGGCAAAACTAGAAAAGGGGTGACTCAGCTGTTTTCAGGGCTGGCCCTGCCCACTGCTGCCTCTGGGCTCCCTGCTACGGAGCAGCTTTGGTCACGTGACCCATGAGGGGGCGTGGCCTCGGACCCTGAAACACACCTCTGCCATGCTGATAAGCGTGCCACCAGCAAAACCATCGCTTTTTTTGCAGACTGGCGCATCGTCTGGGGTAGCTGTGTGTGCAGCCTCTCTCACAGCCGGTGTGCCGCCAGACTCATGGCTGCAGCATGGATGGCAGCAGCAGCGTCTTTTCTTCCTCCCCTCTGTTGTCTCCCGAAGGAAGTCCAGAATAGTGGACCACATGCTAGCCAGACGAAAACAATAATATACCATATGACCTGAAGAGACTTTACAAGAAAAGTTGTCTGACAGTAAAAACACTGCAATCAGAGTGCAATTCGATAGCCTCCTGACATGGGGGGCAAGTTAGGATTATTCAGAGACCCACCCCCAAAGTCCTCCAACCATAGAGTTGGGAGGCTGGACATGAAACCCCTGCTACCCGTTTCCCTTACCCAGCATACAACTGCTCCAGCTGCCTCTCTGAGGTTGGAAATTGACCTCGTAGAGGCTACAGGGGAGGGGAGGGGAGGAGCCTGGAGCTGAGGGCTTATTCCTATCAAGAGTCCCCCCTTAGTGATGCTTCATCTAGACAGCCAAAACTGGGTGCATGGATGAAACTCAGGGTGCAAGGAGCAGGGCAGTAAAGATGGCACTAGAACCTCTAATTCATGTCTTGGAAATCAAACCCAACCACACATCAGTTCAGTAGAAGTTCTATTCACCAAGATGTCGTCAAACAAGCAAAAAATTGCAGGTCAGATTTCAGCCAGAAAGTAGCCAGGGCCGAGAGGAGATGGCGAAATTCTTGAGTGCATCTGAGGCTTTCCGCTGAACCGTTTTCTGGAAGCTGCAACCCTTGCTCAGTCTTGAAACGGTTGGTTTACTCTTTTCAGTGGCGAATGCCCTTTGAAGTTAATAATTAGCCCTTTTGGCATTCATAAGCCCAAATGCTGGGGAGAAACTGAAGTCTGGAGACGGTCTGATACTACATCATGGCCGAAAAATGTTTATGTCATCTGGAGAAGAGGAATGTGTTGTCGATCTTTGGGTGTATATTTATTTGAGAGAGAGAGAGTGCACACGCAGGAGAGCAAACAGGCATTTGATGTGTTGCGATCTTGCGAAATAAACGTATAAATGATTTGCAGAAATAGTTCTCAAAGCTTTGTTAGAGCTCCTGACTGAACATGTGGTCACATGAAACTAACTAAATTGTCTGTGGGGGAGAAAAACACACACATGGTCCAGCTTCTGCTTATTGCTCTGTTAACAAGGAGTAATCTTTCTTTCTGATGTCATCTGTTCATTTAGTGATTTAGAAAGATGGCCTGAATTTTTGCTCTCTCTTTGGGCTGGATCTTATTTTTGCTTTGTGTTGGAACGTGCTTGTGATTTTTTAAAAAGTGTGTAAATGGTGTGCATTAAAAAACAGTAAAAACCAAGAATAACAAAGGCCCCTTCCCACTTCACCAAACCTGGAGATGTCCCTTGATTGTCCCAGGATGAGTGGAATAATGTTTCTGGCTGTGAGATGGGCATTGGGTTGGCACGTCTTTGAGTGGCATGAGCAGTGCTACTGGGAAGCCAAGAATGCAAGCCAGTACTTGTCTTCTTTTAATTAGCAGGGATGCTGAAGTCATCCGTACACCTCGCAGAATTCTCTGTTTCCTTGGAACTGGTCTCATAGTCCTTACAATAACAAGAATTCAAGGATTCTTTGGGCAGGAATACACTGTCCCCTGTTGCAATGCAAAATATATTGGCTTGGTCTTGAATGGGCAATTAAGCCCCAGTAGCTTTTAAAAAAAATCTAATTCTAATAGTGGAAGTAAGTGGCTGTTACGGGCTTTCTGATGTGAATTAACGCAGCTGCCATAATATCTTTAACTCTCATTGCGAGGGCAATGAGAATGATGTGGAGAAAATAGCCTTAGAGCAGATTTGCAGCTTTACTGAGGCTGCAAAAGGTATGATGAGACGAGGAAAATGCTACTAGGAATTGTGGGACGTTTTCAGCCTGAGAGTGCGTGGGATTGTGCCCTAACTTGCTGGGGGGGGGGGGGGGGGCCTTGCAAACAGCTGTTCCCATGCAATACGGTTTCCTAGCTCTGGCTTTGATCCAGATGTGAGTGCAGGTAAGCGGCTGCCTTCCCTACTTCAGAAGATAGCCCTCCGTTGAAGGTGTCCCTTTTTTGGAGGGCTGACCATTCATCCTTTGTGGGCACGGGCAACATTTGCTACCCCACCTGTTGAAGCTCTTTGCTCTTCTCCTGCTGGAGCCCATCCAGCAGACCTACAAAACTGGGATGAGTTGCATTTTTGCTTAAAACAGAGCAGTGCAGCTTAAAACGGGCATCTAGGTCCCCGCATCTGTGGAACAGCCTCCCTGCCGTGTCCCGCTTGGTGCCAAATTTGCCATCTTTTCTCCACCAGGTCAAGACAGCCCTCTGTAAACCCTTTAAAGACCTCCCTGTTCCTTAGCCAGGTGCCTTTTGTTCTTGGCTGGGTCTTTTGCTGTTTTAATGGTTTTATGCTATTTTAAATGTGTACTTAACCCTTGTGAGTTGCTTTTATCTGCTATACTTTATTGTTATTTATACCTTTTGTAAACCGCCCAGAGAGCTTCGGCCATGGGTGATATAGAAATGTAATCAATAAATGATAATCGAGATAAAAAGCAGCATAAGCAATTTGTAGGTGGATCAATGTCCTCTCCTTTTCGGGTGATGTGTCAGTCTCCGTCCTAAATCTAGAGCTGTGTTGACGAGGCAGTGTAGCGTATCGAGGGTCGGTTCACAGATCTAGAAATGCAGCATGTGGACTGTGGATATTTGAAGACGTGGAGACAACTGTGTGTGGACAGGGCACTCACTGGCATTCCTTGAATTCCAGGAGGCAGAGCAAGTTAATTGGGTGCCTGGCGGGGGTGTGCTTTGTGCTTTTGCAAGCCGCAGAAGGGGCTGTTGGGCTTCCGGACCTGCAGTTTGCAAGTCTAACGGAGGGACTTTCTTCAGATCGTCTGCATGACTCTCTGTCTTGCCCATTTCTCTGAGACATTCACACGGACGTCTGTTTTCCTGCTCAGGATATGCTGTTCCTTCGGGCCCACCTCCGCAGAACTATCCCAACACCACGTATACCATCATTCAGCAGCCGCCCACCACCACGACGTCTGTCGTCGTCGTTGGAGGCTGCCCGGCCTGCAGGTTAGTATGGTTATTCTCCTTCTACTGTGGTCTTTATTATTATTATTATTATTATTATTATTATTATTATTATTATAGCATTTCTATGCCGCCCCTTGCCGAAGCCTCGGGGCGGCTTACAACACAATAAAATACATTGAAATACAATAGAACATAATAAATTACCATAAAATACAAAAATACCAAAAAATACATTGAGTCACAAACATCATAATATAAAATTAAAATTATCAGTATAAAATAAGTAAATAAATAATATAGGAGGGGAAAAGAGAAGGAAGAAGAAGTTGCCCTGGCCAGATCATATATTTTAACAATTAAAATGATGTTTAAATAAAAAGGTCTTTACCTGGCGCCGAAAAACCAGTAACGACGGTGCCAGGCGGACCTCTCTGGGGAGTGAGTTCCATAGGTTGGGCGCCACCGCAGAGAAAGCCCTCCTCCGAGTACTTACTCTCCCAATTTCTTTCATGGAGGGTTCCCGGTTTCAAATTCATCTGTGATTAGATGGATATGTTCTTTTGGTGCATTGTCCGATTTTGGTGTGTGTATGTGTATGCGCCATTTATTTTGATGGGTTCAATGAATTCTGGACACTGCCTTTTTTCTCCTCACAAGGAAGCGAAGGAAGTTCACAGGAGCTTCCTCCCATTTTATTCTCACAACAACAACCCTGTGGGGTAGGTTAGTCTGAAAGGGAGTGGCTGGCCCAAAGTAATCCAGGGAGCTTTGTGGCTGAGTGGGGCCTGGAACCCAGATCTCCCAGGAATCTCCCACTCTCACCAGGACACCAAATATTTCCTTTGTGCCTATGTCCCTGTGAAATTCAGAACAAAAACAGCTGTTCTTGAGGGGTCCACCAAGAGTGGAAACTTCCATTTCTCTTTGATTTCCCTTTTCAGGAAAGTGAAACTGGAATTCCTGAGTCAGTGCTTGCTTTTCTAGGAACAGAAAATTATCTCCTCTTTCATTTCGTATCCCTTTGCTGATGTTTGTGTTTGTGGCGTGCAAGTCTCTCTTACTCGGAATATATTCTAGAAAGAAAGCAAAGGTGCTGGAACAGTTGCATTTAGTTTCTTCCCTGCTTTTTATACCTGTTGCTTGCTCCTTCATTCTCTGCAATCCCCAGGGATTGTTTTCCACGAATTCTTCTTGGAGCAGGTTCTCGTTGTCCCAAGACACCTGGACCGAAGTCTCTCAGATCCATTTTGAACCCCAAACACAAGCAGCTGCACCTTAAACAGGGGTGTTGAACCTGAGACTTGCCTGCAGTTGAAATCCTGCCCAGGTTTCCTGCCCCTCCCGGACACCTTCAGGCCCTGCCCCTTTTCCAATGCCCATTCTTTGGTGTTTTCTTGGCTATTCCACCTTCTACCTCTGTCATTCCCAAAGGTAGAAATGCTGCTTCCCAACCTTAATTACTGGCAGTAGGAACTTTCAGCTAAAAGATGCTGATGTGTTTAGTCTCACCCACCACGGACCAAACCCCAGCAAGCTTCTTCAAAAGTGAATTTGGCCCTTGCCTGAAGTAGACGTTGCCGTGCTTAACCCTTGGAATCCAACTAGATGTTCAGAGCAACTCTTGTGTTTCATGTCCGGGTGCTTTAAATCGCAAGTGACATCAGCTGGGTTTAAGGTGTGTCTTTTACGGGGATTGCATCGTGCACCAAGGGGGAATTTAGCCTCTTCTGCTGTTGCAGTCCTAAAGTAAAGGAAATTGCTCCTCAGAAACTTTGACCACTTGCAGAGGAAGGAGTGGGGTGCCAATGGCAGCTGCTCACCAGCCCTCTAAAATAAATGCCAGTTTTCACATTCTGAAGCGCCGCTGACATCCATGTGTTCAAATGCCTGTCTTTTAGGGTAAGGTAAAGGTTAAGGTTTCCCCTTGACATTAACGTCCAGTCATGCCTGACTCTCGGGGGCGGTGCTCATCTCCGTTTCCTGGCTGAGGGAGCCAGCGTTTGTCTGCAGACAGTCTCCGTGGTCATGGAGCTGGCATGACTAAACACCGAAGTGCACGGAGCGCTGTTACCTGCCCACCAAAGTGGTACCTTTTCATCTACTTGCATTGCATGCTTTCGAACTGCAAGGTTGGCAGGAGCTGGGACGGAGCAACGGGAACTCACCCCATTGTGCAGATTCGAACCGGCGACCTTTCGATCAACCAGCCCAGCGGTTTGAACCACTGCGCCACCTGCATCCCTCTTTTAGGGTGGAACTCTGTAAATGCTAAGACGGAACATAACATTGCCATGGTCCATTCAGATCATGGTATACGGGCTTGAGGGAGCTGCCTGGTAGAGCCCGGTGGGGAGGCTTTCCTCTTTGAAGACTGACACTGAAAGGGCCGTGCGCTGGGCAGCTGAAGGGCAGGTCCACAACTGTGGGGCCACTGCTGAGGAGGCGCTGCCTCTTGTGCCTGCCACCGCCACCCATCTTCCTGGGAAGCGAATGAGCAAGTATGACTTGTGAAAAGGTATCAGGTATCGATGGTTAGCCCTTCTTTCTCTATCGACCTGCGCTCACGGTCCCATGGGTGGGACTGAGCACGTGACAAAAAGATGTTTAATGTATGCATTGCATTTGTAGCCCTTCTTTTGGATGGCCTCCGCAACCTCATATCCAGATGGCGATCCTTTGAGATGCTGTTAGTTTTGTTCTGGGTTAGTTTCTGGGGTTGAAATGACACCAGATGCCTTAGAACAAGTCACTTCTCTGATGTCTGTGCCGTACCTGCTAAATAACAGCTGAGCAGCGAGTTTCAGACAAGTCCCGAGCAAGTGTGTATCACCTTGTGAAGACCGTGACCTTAATTGGCTTAATTGTTAGCAGTGGTAAAAAGCAACATCAAACCCTTAATCACAATTAGTGGGAAAAGGCTATTAAAACTGGCTTTTCTCCGGTCAGGCTGGGAATGCTTCACCGTAGCAATACATTTCTATTTATGTATATATAAGATATTGCTACCCTACCTTCTGATTCAACATTTCAGCATGGACATGTCTGGTAAAGCACCTCAAAAAAACCCCAAGCCAAATCAAGCAGTATTGCTTGTTGGAGCAAACACTTTTAAAAGAGCTCATTGGAGCAACCAAAAAGCACACCGGAGAACTTGGCTGGGAGTTTAGAAGCTGTCAGGAAAAGCTGACATGAACCTTAACCAATTGTATGTTAAATTTTTAAACGGCTATGCTGCCCGAGGAGATTTGGCTGTTGAGCAGTATAGAAATTAAGTAAGTGAATAAAGAAATAAATGGTTGTTTTGGTCCCACCTCAGTAGAGTGCCCATCTCGGACCCATACAGAATTTTGGGACAGGTTCTGTCATAATGTAATCTGTCTGAAATTCCTGGATTGAGAATACTTCCAAATAGGAATGCCAGATCTATTGCTTGCATGCTGCGTCAGTCTGGACTTTGAGGGAGCGGTGTTAAACTAGTTGGGCAACTGAGCTGATCTGTCAGGAGAACTTTGCAACCGTGTCCATTGCAAAGTATTGGCGAGAAAGACCAGCACTGACTCCTGTGCTTCAGGAACTATAGCTAGGATGGGGGCAAGGGCAAGAGTGAATCTTACAGACTAATGTTGAACCTCTCTTGGTCTGAAAGCTGAATTCCAATTTAGAGATAATTTAGTGGGGTGTCTTCTGGCGTAAGCAGGTCTGAAAGCAAAAGGAGGAGGGCTAAAAGTACTAACATAAAGCTTTTACTGCCAGTAACTAAACCTTTGGCGAGTTATTTCAGCCTTTCAGAGTGAGGATGATCTGCACAAAAGCCGGGAAGCTATCCAACTCGAGGGAAAGGGGGTGTCCATTTAGAAAACCCTTTGTGGGTCAGATTTTGTCCCTGGGTCTGAGGTTCTCCATCCGTGGTGGTAAGGAATGGGTGTCCCTCCAGATGTGAGTGGAATCCCATTTAGCCAGTAAGGGGGATGCAGCCCATAACATCTGTAGGGCCGCATGTTCTGCATCCGTGTTGTAAAGAATACACTCTATGGGTGTTTCTTGGCCTCAGCATGGGTTTATTTCTGTGTGTGAGATGCTTAGTCTGTGTGTGGGTTCAAAGGAGACAATGACTCATCTCAGGCTTGAGTGGATTGTCACTGAAGCATGTGTCATGACACGTGAACCCTGATGCACTGCCCAACCATGGTTTGTTAACCTTGAACAACCCACAGAAAGAGAGTTGGTTTATTGTTGCTTTGTGAACGCTGGGCTGTTCTTGGTTAACACACCGTGGCTTGTTAGCATGACTGGATTTGCACTACCCATGCTTCAGTGACAAACCAGATTCTACCCTGAGGATGGGTTGTGTGAACCCAGTCTTGGCTTCGTAAGCATGGATTCAAAAGGTGTTTACCATGAATGTTTACATATCAGTAGCTTTTCATCCAGAAGCAGGACACTTGGATGCAAGGCCCTGCTTGTGGTATAAATAAACTTCCTCTATATTTAGATGGCCTGGGAATGGCATAGCTTTAAGTCACAGGAAAGCTGCTTTGCTCCCCAGGCCAACTCTTATTTTATAGCTAAGATTAGCTGTCTTTAAATGGAGCACATTACCCAGCCCTTCCCAGCTTCCCCTTATCTGATCTAACTGGCAATTTCCATAAACAACAGTTTTCATCAGTGCCTCTGTAAGTTTGGACATGTATATTTCTTGCTCTTACATGAAATAATGAATTAACAAAAGGCTGGTCTGGAGGATACTTTAAGCCCAGGGAATATAAAATCATTTGTAAAAGGGGTAGATTTTCCCAAAAAGTTCTCACCATACAGGGAAGGATGTTCTGCCTGCCCACATCTTGGAGAAGGGAGGGCTCAGAGTCTTTTCCTATACAGTGGTTCCAAAGGTTGTTCGGACTAGCAAAAGAAACACATGCACTCGTTTGCTGAATTTGTGCAGTTAATTTGGGTAATAAAGCTTAATTTGATTGGCATGAGGTTGCACATGATGCTGGTGTGGGTAGTTGTTACATGTTTTCATAGAACATGTTAACGATACTGATTATTCAAGAAACTGCTAGTTTAATTCAATACGGACTTATTCTGTGCATAAGGTATGAAGCAGGCTTCTATTTGGGTTCATTGAGGATTGCTTTCCACCTATAAAAGTTCCTTTATTCAGCTTATTGCCTGAATGCAGTGTAATTGTGTTAGCAATACTACAATTATTCTTCCTTTAATAGCTTGTGAGCCTGCAACCTTTCCTGTCATCCAGCCTATGCGCAGAGTGCCTGGAAGTTGCTAGTTTGTTCCTAAGCATTTAATCATACTAATTGTGAAACTTTTGAATTAATTATTGGGTTCTGCATCTTCTAGGGGAGAGCCATCGCATCTTCATCACAGTAGCTTCTGGTACATCCTCAGATTTTTTTTTTCCTTACTGCACCCATGAGGGCTAACCTAGTTCGGTTTGTAGAACACCACTTCCAATATCCCTTAAGAATGTAATACAGACCGCCACCATGCTGAAGAGCGTGCTGTGCCTTCAGTCTGCTTTCTTCTGTTCTCATGCTTTGCCTAACAGAGGAGTTCTAGTGAATGCAAAAGCTTGCTTACCACCCTCCAGCTTTTAGTTTGGTCCTAATATATATCACGTGAGTGTTAATTTTAGACTTTATGAAGCTACATTTGGCAGTGCCAGGCCATTGGTTGGTTACTCTTGACTTGCTGTCCTCTCCAGCCTGGCACCTTTGGAATGTATTGGATTGCAGCTGCCATTTTCTGATAGATGATGCTGGTTGGAGATGATGGGAATTGCAGTCAAAAGGTGTACCGGATGGGGAAGGAAGCTCTTGAGTCTTGGGCAGGGGCTTTTTGCAGCTCTGCTCCTTGAGTTTTTTTACCTGGAGGGGATGCTGAGGTCTGATTGAGGCTTCTTATGCAGCGAAGCGGATTGGAGCTTCTCAGGGCAGAGAGAAGTGAAGCCTCTCTCCTGCAGAAGTACCAAAAGCACTTTTCAGTGGATTACATCTCCTTGAATTTCCTTGTTCTGGTCATTTGACTTTCGTGCCACGAATCCTTTTAGCTTTCCCTTTTCTCATTAAATAAGCAGGAAGAATTCATATCCTGCAGACTCACTCCTGCTGAAACATGTTTTGAATCTGCATTTCAAGGTCATTCCAGTTCTCTTCCTCGGCTTTTTTTGTGCACAGAATTGTCCAAACATGCCCTCTGTTGAAATCAATGCTGCTTTAAGAAAACTTGGAGAATCTTTGGTTATTAGATTTATATCCTGTTGTTTTCTTTTTTAAAGAACTCAGAGCGGCTTACGTCAGTCTCCTCTTCCTGCTCTTAATGGTATCCCCAGAACAACCCTGTGAGGTAGGATGGGCTGAAAGTCTGTGCCTGGCCCATAGTCACCCTCTTGGCTCCATGGCTGAGCAGGGACTAGAACCTGGATCACCTGAAACCCAGATCTGCGCTAACCAGTACACCTCACTGGGTCTCCTCTCCGGGAGGCCTTCGCTTCCCCCACGGGTGGCTTTTGGGTGTCTAACCTTGGTGGAACGAGCTCACGCTTCCACTCGGAATAATCCAGTTAGTAATGGCCAGAATGCAGATCAATGATAACAATGGCTACTGAAGAAGCAGCTATTAAGTATGTGTCAGGAATTCTCAGTTGGCATTAGAACAGTTGTGGGAACTTGCCCTCTCTAGAGAGCTCAGCTCTGTTGGACTAGGAAGCAAGCGCAGAAGGTGGGCAACCCAAAACGCTAAGCTGCCTTGAGTCTAGAGATGGAAGCCACGGCAGGTCAGAGTCTTCTCTTGCCGACAGATGACTTTCAGCTAAGAGAAATGAAATATTAGGAACGGGGAAGTTAGAAACGAGAAGCAAACTGAAAAAAAGGGCAGCTGTGAAATGCACACACCAAGTTTAGAACCAAGTTCACCAGCACTATTGGGAGTGAAACTTCTTCCAAGACATCTGGTATCTACTCTGCTAAGCACCAAGTAAAAGCAAGCCCTGTTTTTATTTTCATGGGTGTTTAATGGCCCCTTTTGTACAGAATGCTTCCTCCAGAGAGGCCTGCCCCTAACTTCATTTCCTAATATTGATGCACCAGACAGAGAGTATTTGCCCAGGCTTTTCAGGGAGCAGCCATCATGGTTATGCTTTGGGTTACAGTTCTTTCTGTGGTCAAAGTGTTATGCTAACAACATAACAAGTGCTCTGGGTTACATTTTGGAAACTCTTGCTTTTTGTTTAACGTTTGCATTTTATACTTGCTTTGTTTACTGTTCTGGCCCCTTACGTTTTGTGCACAAGATACCTTGACAGCTTGAGGGTGGGGTTTACATGTTTTTTATTCTTTTGACCTGTAAAGTGTGCAAGGTATCTGGAAGACTCGAGAAGGATTTCTTCATTTTTTTGGTGGGGGGGGGTGTGTGTGTTTTGAAACAGTGCTCCTCTTTTCCTGGAAACAAAACGTCCCGAAATTGTATTACTCCGGGGACAAAGGAACAGTTTGTGCATTTGTGTATCTCTTGAAAAGCCTGACATGCATTTTACTTGTTCCTCTTCTCCTTGCTCTTCCAGAGTTGGCGTATTGGAAGACACCTTCACCTGCCTGGGAGTCTTTTGTGCCATCGCATTTTTTCCTATTGGAATACTCTTCTGTCTTGCGTTGCGGCAGCGAAGATGCCCAAACTGCGGTGCAACATTTGGCTAAGGGATAAATGCACATGGGCTTCGGGAAGCTTGTAACGACCGACGATCCTAGTCCCCTTTTTCTAATGTAAATGTCATGTACAATCACGGTTATGCTTCAGAGCTGATTTTGTACAAGTGCGATGACATTAGTCCGTCTCTCTCTTGCATGTAAAACTGATCTATGAGCATGTCTGTTATAAGACACGGATCCCACCTGGCTTTGTGTCTTCAACGCACCTTTTTGGAAATTAAAAATAAAGCGCTTTTTGCAACTTCACTAGAAAAGGGCTAAGTACTTTCTGCCATAAGGGTTATCAACCTCTGATGGGTGTGTGTGTGGAAATTTCTCCACCAGGCAAAAGGACTTGATCTAAATCTCGTGCAAAACCAGCAAATACATCCCTGTTCTTGCTTAATTTGGGAATGGATAACCTGAGTTTCCACAATTGTGTTTATAAAGAACCCCCGTTTTCTGCAGCTCTGGAACATGATGGAAAGTATCAAGGTTAATGGATTGCTCTTGGCTGCTGGGGTCCCAAAGAGCCCCTCATGAGGATGGCATGAGCATCATCTTCCCCCTGTACCTCCTTTTGCATTATCATGAACAGCACAGGAGCCTGCTTGGCATCCGCAATAAATGTTTCCAGACCAGTTTTCTTCCATTCCTTATGGACATCATAGATCGATATTTAGAGGTGGCCCCAGGTTGTGCTCAGTTCCCAGTTACGAATTTACTGAGTTTATTTTTAAAAGTTATGAGCCAGTCAGGGTATGCATAAGGCCACTTTAACAGCATAAAGGCCGCTTCCTGTTCCTTACACAGCCCTCTCAAGAAGCCAGCATTCCTGACCTCCAGCTATCCTGCCTGAGGCTGACGGGGGCTGAATGCCAAATATTCGGAGGGCCCCAGGTTGGGAAAGCCTGTCCTAAACCAACAAAGTTAACTTCAGATCTGAAGAGCGCTGTGCAAATAAGCATTGCTTTGCTGTCGGTTTCAGTCCACCCTACCCCAGCCGTTCTTCCATGGATTGCACATTTGTGGAACTGTTACCTCCGTAAGCCCTAAGCCCTCCCAGTACGGTGGGTGCCTTTTTGAGTATGCTCCGCTTGTGGCTTTCACAGGCAGTGGTTTGGCCATTTCGGCTATTAGACCAGGTGGCCCTCAGGTCTGCTCTAGTCTTAGGTTTCTATATTCATAACTGCAGCCCTGCAAGGTAGACCTCTAAATACTCATTTGCACAGATCCCATAATCACACGGGACTAAAGTGCAGGTTAGCACAAACTAGGTGGGAAGATTATTCTGGCCTCGCAATCATGCACAGCAAACTGAAAAAGTTAAGTGTGCCTCCAAGACTTCCTGCTGTCCATACCTTTTCACTCAAACCTATTGGGCCTCTTTTTCAAAACAAACACACAAAACCCCCATCTTGCATCAACTCTGTTCTCTTGCACTAGTCTCAATTGATAATATAAGCTTTTGCAAAACAACAAAATATGAATGTGCTAGCAAAAGAGATGGATCACATCAAGAGTCACCGAGTTAATATTTAGTTTACATTTATTTGAGATGTCATATATACCTGTAAGAGTAAACTGTTAAATCGGACAGTGGGCCGCAGCCAACTCTCCTTGTAGGCCCCGGTCTTTTCCCCGAGGTCCTTGGGAGTTTCAAAGGGCATAGGCACCGCAGCTGGTGTGCTTGGTGGATAATTCAGCCCTCCTGGAGTGCCCAGCCTGCTCCAAATTCAGATCCGTAGTTCAGGTGCATTTATGTCTCAAGGAACTGCCTTGCCCCCACACTTCCTTGAATGCTGTGCTTACGGAACCCCATGTTTTTAAAGCTATCACCATTTTACACAATTCAGCATGTAAACATTTCCTTGCAAGATCCATTTATTTGTTACCATTATACAATATCCTATCCTCATAAATCCAGGGTAAGAACTTCCAAATATATTCTAGGTAGATTCTGAGGAATGCTTCTATTAAGACTCAACCTTTTAGCCTGGAAGCACAGAACAGGAGAACAAAACCAATCTAGACACATGTAGAAGCTGTGGACTGCTTGCTGAATTTGTTCTGGGATGCACGGCTGTAGCTGCACAAGCATAATTTTCTCTGCTCTCCAGTGACCATCCTCGTACTGAAAGCTACTATATGTTCTAGCCATTACTGAAGACGGGGCTCTAGACTCGAGCAAGCAGATCTTGGGCAGCACTATCAGTGGTGAAATGTTCTCAATAGTAGATGGACTGAAGACCAGACGGATGCCCAGCATTAATTCTCACCAGGGACTTCCGTTTTGCCTTAAGAATCGGACATGGTCCTTCTTTCTGACATTACAAAGGAATCCCCCTCCTAGTGCCCTGTTCTTCAAAGCTGCAGGTTTACTTCTCAGTTTCATAAACAGCAAAGGTCTCAGTCTGTATGCACAACATGCAAAGAAGATCTTTTGTGCCAGCTATTACAGATGAAGCAGTGTAACCTTGGGAATTGCTCGCCGGAATGTTGTCGGCAAAAATTCTGTTCTTAAGGTCACCCCATCTGGAACTGTTCTTCCATAACACTCTCTACTGACCATGTTCAACTGTCAACATGCTAATAAATGAGTATCTTTGCACCCACTTTTTTGCGCGCTGAGCCACCACTGTCTTCCTGGGCATGCTCCAGTCCCCCTTTTAATACCTGTACACAGGAATCCCTTCTACTCATTGGTGGTATGTCGCACTAAGTTCTCTTGAGCCCGAGAAAAAGGGATTGCATACTCCGTAATCCAAAGGGTAAAAGGTAAGGATGCACCCATGCTTTCATTTGTGTCTGTGTCCTTCAGACAGTAAAATCCCACATTTTATTAGCTGCAAACTGAATTATCTTTAGGGGCAAACTCTGAAGATTGTGCACATTAAAAACAAGGCAATACAGCAAAAGAATATCTAGGTTTTCATTTGTAATTATTCATCACTAACTGCAAGAATTTGTATTTACCTTTCTTATGAATCAGAATCCTGCTAAAAAAAAGACAGTGTAATAGTTACATTGTGCTTCAACATATTGCAAACCATGTTCCAAGAATATTACATTTTCTGATCATTCAGAAGATAAATATTTATTCTTATTGTACCCTAAGACATTTTTCTTAAGCAGTATAATGAAAATATTACTATACACAAAGTTTTACAGTATGTTAAGGCAAACCTTAAATGGCTTGACTATTTAAAACTCCACTAAGTGTATTCATTTATCTACGTATATGGTTCAAGGAAACTTAAATAATCAGAACTTACCCATAGGATTCAACCGGCAAGAGGAATAAATGATTAGTTATGCTGGTAATTATAGAACTCAAGCCTCACCCCTATTTTCAGAATTCTGTCTTCCTAAACAAGGCACACTGTAAAATTATGAGAATCTTTTTCAAGCATTTTAACCCATCAACAATTAGCTGATCTAGGAAGCAACAAGATTTTTTTTTAAAAGTCAGGAAATTCTTTGCAACTTTCTGAGTCTGTATACATTAATTACATTTAAATAAAGTTTAAAAACAACTTCACATAGCATCTGAAAAATCATATTGCTGAAGATGGAGTCGTGTTTACACGGAAGAGTACAAAGCATTCCGCCAACGTCGCTTATCGAAGTATCGGTGCTGATCTGTCATTTGTTACTGTCGGTCGGAGCTGCACGGCAGCAAATGGATTTTCTCCACTGTAGTAAAACAAGAACCACACACAACATGGCAAGGTTTGGGATTAAACCAAATGTTCAGCTAGTAAGTTTTGCCTGCAGGTTTTTCGGCATCTGAGGCAGGACAGATGGAAGCTTTCCATCAGCTTCGACTAATCCATCAGTTGCGCCCCTGCCTGGAGAATGACTGCCTGGCGATCATGACCCACGCGTTGGTGACTTCCCGACTAGACTTCTGCAACGCGCTCTACGTGGGGCTGCCCTTGAAGACGGTTCGGATACTTCAATTGGTGCAAAACAGAGCTGCCAGGTTGCTGACGGGGACTGGGCGTTGTTCTCATATAACCCCAGTCCTCCGTCAGCTTCACTGGCTCTCCATTGAAGTCTGGGCCCAATTCAAGGTGCTGGTTATGACCTATAAAGCCCTGAACGGCTTGGGACCTGGTTACTTAAAGGAGCGCCTACATCCATACTTGCCCTCCTCCCCCCTGAGATCGGCGGCAGAGGCCCTTCTCCGGGAACCCTCCGTGAAAGATATTAGGAGGGTGAGTACCTGGAGGGCTTTCTCTGCGATGGCACCCCACTTATGGAATGCGCTCTCCAGAGAGGTCCACCTGGTGCCATCGTTATTTATTTTTCGGCGCCAGGCCAAGACTTTTTTATTTAAACTTCATTTTAATGAATTGTTAATTTATTTATTGGTTTTAACTTATTGCCTGGATGTTTCTAGTTTTTATATATTTGTATTGTTATTTATTTGTTGGAAGCTGCCCCGAGGCTTATGCGAATGGGGTGGCATACAAGAATCCCAAATAAAATAAATAAGACAGCAGCAAAGGGCCAAATATTGAAGATGGTCCATCCCCAGTAATCTCTCTAATGCGAAGTCCTCCTGGTGACCCTTTTGGTGGAGTGATGGTGACTATTATTTATTATCATTTATTAATTTATTATTAAAAATGGTCATTTATTAATTTATTAAAAGCTTTTCTATCCTGTCCCCTACAAACATCTCAGGACGGTTTGCAATAAATAATATTAGAAATGGAGAAGGACAGGAGGTGAGAACTGTTACCGGTCCTGCACCATGGCACTGAGTTTGGACAGATTTTCACTGCTCTCCTGGGCCCCAGTTAAGTCCTGTTTTTCTGGAAGCAAACTGCCAGCCTGGATAAATCCAACCCCTTTCTTGAATTATCAACAGGGCTTAATCTGAATCATCCCCAGAAGCTACTGGGAAGCGCAGGTTAGAATCCCAAACTCCCCAATCCCCCCTTTCAAGACTGCATCATTATTCATCACAAATGAATATTTTTCATCCTGTTGAAAAACAGAAGCCTACCTTAGGAAAGGTGGTTTTACAATGCCATTCATGTTAGGTTTCTGAAAAAGAAAAGAATAGCCATACTCAGAAAAGACAAGTCGTGCTTAGTACCGGCAATTGTATGATATCCCAACAACCAGATTTGCATGTAAGTGTGGTTCACAAGGTTCACAACCATCGACTGCTGCTAACACCCATTTCTCAACCATTTTATTTGTAACAACAGGCCAGGGAAACCTTTACAAACAGCCCCATGGGAAGGTTGGGGGGGCAAATGGCTGAGACCCACTGCCCGCACCCCTGTATGAATGGCTTCCAACACCCTGCTTACATTATAGTGTTTTGGAAGAGCTCCGAACTTAAGGAAAAGCCTTTGGAGGGGAGCAGGGGGCTTGAAAGTCATAATGCAGAAAAACAGAGTGTGGATTCTGGCTTATATTTATAAGCAGCTTAAACAGAATGAATGGCAAGCAAATACAGTTCAGCTTGCCTTGCATTTTACTCCCATATGGGTTTATGAACTGGAATATTGTATTTCAATGTATTTTATCATGTTGTAAGCCGCCCCGAGGTTTCGGCAAGGGGCGGCATAGAAATGTAATAATAATAATAATAATAATAATAATAATAATAATAATAATAATAATAGTCTGCAGTTTCACCTTGCCCGTTTTCTACTTCACCTTTGCAAGCATGTGAATTGCAACGACTCTCTGTGCCGGGAGGCGGCACTGTGGTTCTCCTGAAGGTCTGATAGTACTCTGCTTTTGCAGTGAAAATGGATGGTGACGGGAAATCCCTTGCATTTTGACAGACTGTGTTATCTTCTCACTCCCATAGACATATTGATGTCGGTTTCGTTTTGTGACTTACCCTCAGTGCAAAAACGAGACTAAATTAACTCTATAAATCAATGTGTAAAAATAGTCTCGACGAGTTTCACTACAAACAACCCCATTATTCTGCAGTGGTAAAATCATCAGTTGAGAATTGAGCAGTTGAGAAATGACATTTTTCAATGTCATTTGCTGAAACATGAATGACTGAAGATTGCCTTTTATATATATCACATAGCTATTGTACAAATGGTTATTTTGGGAATGCGATTATCTTCTGGATTCACAGTCCTTCTGTTGGCCTATAACAACTGTTTCCTTTGTGCAAATACTTGAAATCTATTTTAAAAGTATAAAGTACCTGCACCAAAGGTTTGTGACATAGAAGCATGAAGTATGGCTTGCTATGCCAAACTTAGGACAGCCACTGATGGACCAAGCTGTATTTATCTTGTTGCAATAAATACCATGGCCCAACATGAATTACTCCTGTTGAAATCAATTAGTTCCTAAGCAATGACCGGGATCCAAAAGAACAATACAACTAGTTCCCTTATACTTATAAGGGTCAGGGTGCAGGAGTAATTCTACCAGCGTATGTGGCTATGGGGGCAGATGTGATGTGTGAGAACCATAAACAGAAGGCACCAAACTCGAGTACATGGACCACCTCTTTTGGATCTCCGCAGCAGGCAGGGGCAGGCTTCAGGCTTGCAAGATCTACTTTGCTTTTTAAACTAGAACCATGGAATCCACCAGCCACAGCCAGCAGCAGTAGCTGCTTGGGAGCAGGGGAGCTACATGCCTTCCTATCTCCTATCAGCTCACTCTGGGATGACCTGAATTTAAACACAAGAAGAGCCACGCTGGATCAAACCAACATGATCTGCACGGTGGCCACCTAGTGGCCCACAAGTTCACATACAAGTTATGATATATTGGGGATTCTAAGAGATTAATTTAGGGGCAGGAAAGGATTCTTTTGCCTTGATCTCCTGTTAACAAGGAGCCAGAAAATCTTCCTGCTTTATTACAAATCATCCAGCAATCTTCTAGCAGATCCGATCTTCCTTCTGCCCAACAGAGCCCCTTAAGATCTGCGGGAGAGGCCCTGCTCCGGGAATCCTCCTTGAAGGAGGTAAAAAGGACATCTACTCAGAGGAGGGCCTTCTCTGTGGTGGCACCCAGATTGTGGAATGCGCTCCCCAGAGAGGTTCGCCTGGCGCCGAGTTTATACTTTCTGGCACCAGGTCAAAACATTTTTATTTAACCGTTATTTAAAAAAAATAGTATTTTAATCCAACAGTTGTGTTGTATTCATTTTGTTATTTATTGTTTAGATTGTTTTTAATGTATTTGATTTTACTGATTATGAGCTGTCCCGAGATGCCACGCATAAGGGACGGCATATAAAAGTTTTGAATGAATGAATGAATGAATACCAATTACAGACTTTCCCGCTATCAGACTGCAAAACTGGCTTGGGATGACCCCATATTGGTAGACTCCACCATTTTATAAATTCTGCACAGAATAAGACCAAGTTGCAGTTTTGCTTTTGACTCAATTATGTTTTTGTGTTTATTAAATCTGAGACAGATGCACCAACATTTATAGCTTCCAGTGCATTTCAAGATTCTTCTCTTTACAATTCATTTCTTCAGAACTTCCAAATAACATGCAGAACTTCTGCCTCCATTGGCCGTGAAAAAGAGAAAAGTCTTGAAACATATTAGGGGCTGTAAACATTGGTGCAGCTGCCTTCTGCCTTTAGTTTTGGCTTTGGACAGCTTTTTTTTTTTAAGTCATTGGGGCTCGTTATGCTTTCGCTAATTTTTAACCATGGGGACAAATTTCAAGGAACATATAGCAACAAAGCAAAAGAAGAGTCTGTAAGAAATCTTGCTTCCATTGAAATGGAAATCTGCAAGTAGCAAGTTTCAAAAACTAACCAGTTCAGTAAAGTTGAAGGAACTACTTATTCTAATTTATTCTAATTTTGGTTTAAGAGTAAAAATCTTGGTCCCTAAAGGATATCTACAGCATATTTCAAAAGGCATGCCTGAAAATTAAAATGTATAACCTTACTGCAAGCAGAGGACAGGAGACTAAACACTTTAGGTTCCTGTGTTGTTACAAGAACCTAAGTACTTTTTTACATCAAGGCTTCAAACAAGCCTCAAAGTGAAATAACTAAAACACACACTTGTACAACCAGCGCACATATACAAAAGTCACAGCTAACTTTCCACTCTGCCTGATGAACAATTCTGCTTGAAAGTCTGCAAAATTCTAACAGAAATAGAAGTTGGCCAGGAAAGATACATTTCTGTACAAAATTAAACATGGTTAAATTTCTTAATAACTCACTAGGATGTATGGGACTGCAACCAATTCTTTTCAGTGTCTCAATTCTAAAGTTGTCCCCCATGTAAAAAAGGCAATAGGTAGATACCATACCTATACAAAGGAGCTCAAGATGGCCGACGAAAGAATATATAATAAACACACAAAATCTATTAAGATTTACATATGTCCAAGGTCAAAATCTCACTGGTATTAAAAAAGCTTTACAGACTGCCGGTTCATTTCTGAGCCCAATTCAAGATGGTCCTGCTTACCGATAAAGCCCTAATTGGCTTGGGACCCAGGTAACCTAAAGTAGCACCTGATCCCAAAACCAAGTTGCTTGTTGACTGCGGTCAACTGCCAACGTTCATCTGCAGCTCTGGTGTCCAATCAGAAGAACTGACACCGTGTTATCATTTAGGAGCTTGATTAAGATTTGGGTGCACAAGCTTTTAGATTTATCGGCTCATTTTAGCAGAATTCTTTCTTCTGCACTTTTATGCGGTTCCAGTTAATCTTGTTTTACTGATATTGTGTTTTATGCAATTATAGACTGCCCTAAGATCGACTCTCTTTTTCTTTCTCAATTAAAAAAGGGCTGGAAGAAAACATTCTTTTCTTCAGCCCCAGCAAACTAGATACTCTTCTCTCTCAAAATCAGTATTCCATACTCAAGTTTCAAAGGACAGAAATGCCTGTTAATTGTCTAGGAGGCAATCTGTTCTTAACGAGCCATCCTTCTGGAGCAGTGGCCCTCTAGAATTTATTGTGGAAAATTAGCTGTATGAAATACGGTCCGATGACGCTCAATGGATGCTGTGATTTAACTGGATTCCAGTCGCCTCTTGGCCTGTCACACCACTGCAAAGAACATTCTGTACTGCTTGCTTAGCAACTTTCCCCAGGCTAATGAATCTTTAAAACTCTTGCTGTCATAATTATTGTCAAAGGACATGTCGATCAACCAGGTCTCACCAGCTGGCCACGGACTAAGTGAACCAATACGTGATTCCGACATGCCGCGTAATGGATAGGGCCCATTTATTTGAAGTAAACTAAGGGTGCAAAACGTGACAAATGGCAGGCTGGTTTGGAGGAAAGGCTAAGCCATATTTATATTTTATTTATTTATATTGCAATTTATATCCTGCCTTTTTCCTACAAAGGGCTCAAGGCAGCTTACATCATTCTCCTCCTCCATCTTATCCCCACAACAACAACCCTGTGAGGCAGGTTGGGCTGAGAGGCTGTGACTGGCCCAAAGTCACCCAGTTGGCTCCATGGCCGAGTGGGGACTAGAACCCGGATCCTCTGAGTCCCAGTCCTGTGCTCTTAACCACTATGCCACACTGGCTCTCGGAAGCATAGTAAAACTCCAGTTTGCATGCTCTCCCCTCCCAGTATGGCCAAGAGGAAGCCATTCGGAGACGTCACTTCCAATTTAGACGAACTGCGGCTTGCTGTGCCACCAAACCCTGGACAACTTCGCAGGATGCCTGATCCTGTACGGAACCTGTGCATGCACGCCCTCCTTGTTAACACCATGCTCAACATGCGGGTGTAGAAGCTGGGGCCAGACAGTTTGGTCCTGCGGCCCTCTCCCTGCGTGGGATTTCCAACAGTTTACAGGAGGCCGACCCAACAGTGCAGGTGAAATGGCTCAAAGGGTTTGAATTGTTGCTAGCAAATGCATTAATTCAGAGGGGGAAATAGTTCTCCCATTGTGAGAACTTGGACTGTAAGATGGAGAGTTACCCTTTCCAGACCAAAGGCTGAATTCTATGCCGAAGAACCTCTTGGAGTTCTCCTTCCAGTGGGGCAGGATCTAAAAATGCTATGCTATGCTTGCTTTTGGATCTTCCTGATGGTAATGAAGTCTTAGGAGAGGCATTGCAAAGTGTCAGAGTAGGGGGAAAATTCACAAATTTGGAAAACCACCAACAAATCAAACAGTGGCCATTTCAGGAACCCCGAGGATTGGGCTGTGAGTCCCGACAAAGATTTGGCCTGCAGTTCTGTGCCCGCCTCTAGAATCTAGACTTCATTTCAGTTTTTACATTTCTGTGTCTCCCAACGGCCAAAGCTCTCTAGTCAGTTTATCAATCTCATGCTGAAATTTGATGCTTCAGAAAAGCTTTCCTCAGCTTGGTCCTTTGTGAAGTAATGCAAGGAACTGCATTTTACAAGGCCTCTTTATTTCTAGAAGAGTATTTGGGTCAGTTTTTGTTACGAGTTGTTATGCTTGTACCTGTAATGCAGATATATTTGGTATTTTCTGGATATTATTGCCGATTTTTATTTTATTTTACTTATTTGGGTATTTTTGCCCTGTCCAATACCCTGTGGATTTTGGGTTGATTGTTTTGGGTTGCATGTGTTTAGTATATGGCAGCTACCCAGTGCTATTTTGAGACAGTGACACATAAGACTGAGAGGGTAATATTATATAATTATCAGATTTTGGGGTAAAAATCCAAAGGAATGGTGAAAGTCAGTACAGTTTGTAACTGTATAATATATTTTGATTCAAATTACAAGTCAATGCATTGCTATTTATTACAAAGAAACAGTAAACACACAGGTATTTTGTGGCATACTTTGTACAAATGTTCATATTACCAGGAGCACAATGCCTCATAAGCTGGATTTTGCCTCTGAATTTCATCTGAGGTTTTTAGGAGTTCACGTAGTTTGGCCAATGGGATTTCAAAGGTATTTTGCATTCCACCTGATCTCTTAACCAGTGCAAACACCTGACACCTGCAATGCTAATTAGAATTACCGAAGGTATTAAATATTTAATTCTTTCTCTGCTTAATGCCAGCATGTTAACTAATTGAGAAGGTCATATTCTGTTCCGCAAGTAATTTGGCAGAAGGCGATATATCTAGACTCAGGAGAAAATTTACTTTCGAATAATACACGTTTAGGACTGGTAAATCATTTGTCCTATTATACAGACCGAGCTCACACGGCATGCCGGGTTATTGTAAGGCGTGTGTGGCGGCTGTTTGGATGTGCAACAGATTTCTGGTTGTGGCATATCATGCAAACCCAGTCACATGGGTTAACTGAGGGTGAAGCGAGCTCACTTAACCTATAATTAGTAGCGTGATAATGTGGGTTATTTTATTTCACTCTTCGGTATCCCACGATGACCAGGTTTTCAGGACACGATGTACTTCCAAGCACCTAATCAAAGGCTGAATATTTAAAATGCTGATTGCTTGTAATGTTGTAGTAGTAGTAGTAGTAGTAGTAGTAGTAGTAATAATAATAATAATAATAATAATTCTTATTTTAAAAAAGGCACTGGGACTGATCTTAGGTTAGCAGATCGTGTCAAGCCACCATGTCATTTGAGCATGCAGACTTTTGAACTAAACATGCTTCCTCTAAGCTGGTGTCCTCCAGATGTTTTGGACTATACCTCCCAGCATTCCTGTGCACTGGTCATGCTGGCTGGGACTGATAGGACTTGAAGTCCAAAGCAGATGGAAAGTAAAAGGTTGGAGAAGGCTGCTTTAAGGAAAAGTGTCTGAAGTGTTGGAGTACATCTGAAATATCAAGCTATTTGCCCTAAAGATTTTTGGAAACCATGCTCTGGAGAAATTATTTCTCCTGGCAGCTGGTAGACAGTCAAATATACAAAAGCAAGATGGCTATAATCTGATCCTTCCTGCAGATAATTTCCATAACGCTTTGGAACTTAAACACATCTAAGCAGGACTCTGGAAGGCAAGATTCAAAGGTCGAAGGTGTACTCACCAAAGCGGGGCTTTCTAATGGGGCCACTGGAGGTCTAACAGCGGTACTTCTGGAAGACTCTGGTCTTATTTCTGGAGTTGCTCTCGCTTGCTCTGTTACTAAATAATCGGGTGGGGGAAGGACCACACCTCCTTTCTCTGTCAAGTTTCCTGAGCTGATGCTTCGGATCGGTGCGGCGCTGAGGAAAAGAAAAGAGAGCATTGTGGTCTCCTTTTTACTTCTGAGGGCTAGAGCGGTCTGATTTGCTGATCCCGACTCTTTCAATAAGCAGAACGTATGGAAATTTTGCTTTCCTGAAGGAAAGGAACTTCATGTTCCCCTCTGGAAGTAAGAAATGTAGCCAACCTAAGCTCTCTTCAGGCATTTTCAAATCCTATCGATGGCGAGCAGGCAGGGACATGTGCTGGCCACCCTCTACTTCCATCTCCCTTGGGGAAGAACTGCATATTTACTTATATCTCTACATTAGACCTAACATAAAAACAGCCTTCCACAGGATCGGGACCCTTGTCAGAACATGAAGCCTTAACATGACCTCAACAATTAAAATATCGGATAAATCAAAAGGTCTTTGCCTGGTGCCAAAAAGAATACAGAAAAGGCACCAGGCAAACCTCTTTGGGGAGTTGATTCCAGAGTCAGGGTGCCACTCCTGAAAAGGCCCTTCTCTGTGTAGCCCCCACTACTGATTTTCTTCATAGGGGGCTCCTTAAGAAAGACCTCCAAAGATGAGGCACGTATCCTTTAGGTAACCTAAAGGACTTTGGTAATTAGACAATTAGAACATTACCTAATTTCCCCATTGCTCATGCTCTGGGAGGGTTCATTCCCTGAACATAATGTCAGATGTGCATATGCATACAACCAGCAGAAGCTCTTGTGGTTTAAAACTGGGCCACCTTGAGCTTGCAAAACTGTTGATGACCCTTGAAGACACTGGCCTGCATTTATTGTTTGTTCCAAACGGACACTTCCTGAAATAATGAAAATGTTTCATTCAAAAGCCAGTGGAAAAAACCCTACCTTGGCACTGGTGTAGGAACGGTCTCAGCTGGTTCTTCCACTGGCTTTGTGTACGATAACGGGAACCATCCTTTTCTAGAATGGGACATAATAATAATGACTTCGTTAGGGAAGTTCTAATATCTGAAGCAATGGCACTTCCTGGAATAGTGGTAAATGTTTAAGTTATCGGCGGCTACTAGTCATGATCGAAGACCTCGGCCTAACCCTTCCCTGGTGCACTCCCTCAACCCTAATACAGGGCTAAAGTACCACTGAAAAGAGGGCGATTTTGAAAAAGCCTCCCTGGAGTAGCTTTTTCTGCACAGCTCATCATTTCTGCCCATTCTGAACACATGCCAACCATCAAAATCATGCCAGGACAGCTCACTTTTCTAACCCTAACCCTACCCTGGTGCACACCCCTAACCCTAATACAGGGCTGAAGTTCCACTGAAAAGAGGGCAATTTTCAAAAAGCCTCCCTGGAGTAGCTTTTTCTGCACAGCTCATCATTTCTGCCCATTCTGAACACATGCCAACCATCAAAATCATGCCAGGACACCTCACTTTTCTAACCCTAACCCTACCCTGGTGCACACCCCTAACCCTAATACAGGGCTAAAGTTCCACTGAAAAGAGGGCGATTTTCAAAAAGCCTCCCTGGAGTAGCTTTTTCTGCACAGCTCAGCATTTCGGCCCATTCTGAACACATGCCAACCATCAAACTCATGCTGGGACACCTTGTTTTTTTAACCCTAACCCTACCCTGGTGCACACCCCTAACCCTAATATAGGGCTAAAGTTCCATAGAAGAGAGGGTGATTTTGAAAAAGCCTTCCTTAACTTTTTCTGCACAGCTCATCATTTCTGCCCATTCTAAGTACATTCCAATGCTGCAATAAAACCTGAAAACTGAGGTTTTAGTTTAGAAAAAACAACTCACAGCCAGTCCAAGCAAATATATATATATATATATATCTCCTTGGCAGTGCACTGACCGGCCACGGGGAAGCTCGGACGAGTCGCGGCTCATGAGTCACGGCACACGACGTCATCGCCTGGCGCCACCACCCCTTTCCGAGCATGCGCATGGCCCCTATGTGCGCGCTTATCCGATGCTGGGCTGCTGCTGGGGCGACTTGGCTCGCGTGCCGACAGACTGTGGCACGCCTGCCACAGGTTCGCCACCATTGGCCTCTGTGCTCGTCACGTCAGTCCTCCATGTCTCAGAGTGCAACAATCCAGGCAGAGTTGCTGCCCCATTTTGACAAAGTGGTTCTAGCAGTCTTATCTCAGATACAAGCAGGTATTTTGCAAAGTTAATGGGTCTCAGTTGTCCCCCAAAGAGCAGCCCAGCCCAAAAGTGAGGAACAATAACAGGAACAGTTGCTGGGGACATTAATTTCCTCCCCAGGTACTGTGACAACAGCAGCCGAGATCAGAGGGAACCGGGATCTGGAGGGGATGGGAAGTGACATCCGCTGTCTGGTAATAAAAAGGGCTGTTGCTGCCTTCCTGTGCACCTTGCCTCCAGGACACCGCTGGTCACGGTGGCTGCTTAGGGCCACCCGTTTAACAGGCAACAGGCCCCTGAGGATCACAGCAGCGGGATGGGACTCTCAGCCTCATGGTCCACTGCTGGGATTCCTCAGGGCATCTGACTGGCTGCTAAGAACATAAGAAAGCCCTGTGGATCAGACTCAAGGTCCATCCAGCCTAGCACTCCGTACACACGGTGGCAAGCCAGCCGCCCACAGGGTCCCTCAAGCAGGACGGGTGCCAGACCTCCCCCCGCCCAGCTCCTCAGCAACTGGTGTGTGAAGACATGCAAGACCTTTGGTGAAGGCAGCGGCACGTCGCCAGCAAGGCTAGTAGCCACTGGTAGCCTCCTCCCTCACGAATCTGTCCAGTCCCTTTTGAACGCTATCAAGGTCGGCGGCCATCACCACTTCCCATGGCAATGAATTCCACAGCTTAACTATACACGGTGAGAAGAAGTGCTTCTTTTTATCTGTTGACCCCGGGTTCAAGCGTTATGGGAGAAGGAGGAACTATGGGAAACCAGATGCTAGACTGGACAGGATTTGGCCCAATCCAGCACGGCCCTTTCCTAAGTTGCCAGGACTATGCAAAAGATCTTTCCTGCATTTGTACGAAATTTGTTTCCCATCCTTCCATCATATCAGGGCAGTTTATACGGAGCGCCAAGTACAAAAACACCATCAATTGGAAGACCACAAAATCATAAAGGCAGCAAAGGATGGGCAGTAGGATTAAAGCTATCTCTAAAATGCCCAGGAAATTCAACACATCTTAGCACTGAAAGATCAATCAAACCTCCTGGCCTTTCAAGGTGGCCCTGACTTTGGGAGCTCATTGGTTTACTTCAGATGGAGAGGCAGCTCTGGTGATGGACCTTCAGGGAAGGTCTAATTCTAGAGGTAGTATCTATGCAAACAAACAGCCCTGGAAGCACATTTTCAGTCCTAAATTCGAGTTTTGGAATGGTCACGCTGCCCCAGCTTTATGCTTGCCCATTGTAACTCCTCCCAGAGTTCTCTGCTCCTGACCACTTCCACCACGTAACCTATTTTTCTAAATCTCTCTTGGAATCAGGGGATATGTGGATCTACAGGGAAATCCTACACAGAGCAAACCAGAAGCAAGGCGGCTAATTCAAGGGAAATGCTTCTGTAAACAGCCTAACTTACACCTTGGTCACATCGTGTTCCCCGTACAGCCAACCATCCTTCTCCTCAGATATAAGTAGTGTGATGATGTCTCCTTGTGCAAAACTAAGCAGAGTCTTGTTGTTCCCAGCAGTGTGTGGAAAGATGGTTTTAACTTTCTGTCTTCTCATTATATTTAGTCCTGTAGCAACAGAAGCTGATCGGGATAAATTGGAGTCATCTGCGGGACCTGATTCAAAAGAGGCAAGAAACAAACATAAGCATAATACAGGATAAAAGGAAAACCAGTTATATGGAATGAAAGAATAGTGAAAAGCAGAGATTTTTCTTATCCTCATTTCTTCCTTTTCGTGGGCATGTCGTGAGCAGAGCTGGCCGGAGCCGTGGGTCAGACTAGATGGCCTGGGAGACCCCTTCGACTCGCTCTGTTTCTATGTTTCTTTTAACAGTCAATTTGGCACCAGTTTATTATGAGTGGCTTTTTAAGTGAGTCTGTAGTAACATCAGCAATACTGGCATTGGCAAATAAAAGAAAATAATTTAATGAAGATTAGTGCTAACTCAAAAAACCATATAGTGGTTAACTGTGAAAACTCCTCCTGGTTTAATACTTCGTTTCCTGGATGCTTACAAGAGAAAATTGTAATTTTATAGCTTCATGTCAACAACACTTAAAAAAATACAAGCAAGAAATCCAAAAAACAGTGAAACACAAACACAAATTACCATCTACTCATCCCAAACCCTGACCTAACTACGGGCTGAAGTTGTCCCACAGAAGCTAACGGGAGAGAAGTTGCAAACGGGGCAGAAATCTAGTAACGGCTCTGAAGGTTCAGGGTCTTCTTCACGACAGATGCCTCTAGGATGGTTTGCATGCGAGGTTTTGTAAGATTCTGACACGTGCATGTGCGTGAGCACCCAAGTACTTCGAAATTAATGGCCCATTTAGGCGAACACTGTGGCAGCTGGCCAGGGCTGGGCAATTTGACAACCTCCACAAGTTTGGCCCTACGACTCCACAAGCCGCAGCCTGGGTGGCCAGTCAGGGATGGCCATTCCGTAGGTCGTCTCAATGCACCAGAAATGCAAGTTAACGATTACCCGTTGAATGATTCAGTCTCTCTGAAGGTGCCGTTGGAATCCCAGGTGGATTGTTAAACATATCAACCAATGGACTCGTGTAGGGTCTTCCTGAAGGTGCAGTGGGCACTTTGGGGTGACTTCGGTGAAGCGATTCATAATGGTTTTCAGCCTATAGACATAAAGTTGACACTTAGCACCAAAAGTCATGAGATAAAGTTGTATTATAAGTCAAGAGCCCTCTGATTCCCATATTCCAACATTACTAGCTGGTTAAAGAACATGCTTTTGCTTTGAGTCTGTCAGCAGCTGATTTTCCAACCTGGATGGCATACGGCAATACCTGGGTACCCTGCATGATACCATGGGAAATTAAGCAAATAATCAGGACTCTGTATCAAGTGCATTCATTCCTGAGATGCGTGTAAAATGTGGAATGTTTTGCAGCACACAGTTTACCGATGGTATTGAATAGCGGCAGCTGAGCTGGCGAGGGAGAGCGTTACTGGATTCCTATCTTGCTTCCTGGCTTCTCAGAGGCGTCTGTGGGGAAGGGGGTACTTGACTGCATGAATTATTGTTCTGACCCAGCAGGTCTCTATCCGTGTTCTTAGGTGTACTTCTATTTCCCCTGAAAAAGCATCTTTAAAAGAAGCCTACCCCTGCCATTGACCATTAAATCAACAGTGATGAAGCTCTTTCAGGCTAGTACTAAGTTCTACTTTGGAGCTCCCAGAGACCTCCTGTGGTGGATATGGCTGAAGACCGTAAGGGGTGGGACCTGGAATAAAAGCAGATTTTAGCTTACAGTTCTTACTGCCTATAAGTAACTCTTCGGATAGGTGCTTCACCCTTTAAGAATGGGGACAACCAGCGCAAAAACTGGGAAGGTTTGTGTAGCTGGTCTCCAGAAAGGCACTTGACTATGGAGTTGCTCCTCACCTATGATGAAAATTCAGTCAGTGAGGACTTGCAGGGAACGCTAAGAAAATATAGCAGGCAGGGGCTCTGGAATACTTCTACTTAAATTTTTGCTTTCTATCAGTGGGGAAAGTTCTGCCCATGAAGTGCCATGAAAAAAACCTAAGTTCTGAAGGACACTGTCACAAGGGCTCTAATTCAGTATCTCCAGCCCTTCCAAGCTTGGCTCCTACCCTCAGTCCCAGCCCACAACATGAGACCTGTGTATCCATTTCTGTTCTGGAAAACAAAGACTCCCAGTGCCTTCCCAGGGGCACTAAAGTAGGTATTTTGGCAAATCCAACTTATTGGGCGGGGTGAGAAGTCGCGTCTGCTGCATTTCCCTCTCTTTCCCAGGAATTCACAATAAAAGAGCCCTTTCCTCTCTTGCATCTGGCCACCTTATACAATCGTGCCTTGACAAGTGGTGGCATCGTCTCGATATACACCCAAGATCAGGGCGCAATTCACCTGTCGGTCTTGACTCCCCAACGGAGGACTGAGGCGTAAATGCCATTCCCCTCTGCCACCACCAAGGGCATGTTGCCTGAGAAGCCAAGCCGACCACTGGGACTGTGGCAAGAGCAAAACCTTTTCAACAGGTAGCTTCTTAAGGGGGCCGTTCATTTCCTCACTGCACCAACTCCCGGGAGGAGAATATGCAATCGAAAGGTCGTTCCTCACCATACTGCTTCTTTCCAGCATCGGTGATGGCATAGGAGTCCCAGAGAGTGGCGGGGGGCCAGGGACCTTCATCTCCTCGATCATATTGATGATCCTCTCGGGCACCTTGGTGGCATCGCTGCAGGTCTCCATCCACCGGGGAAACTTGCTCGTGAGTAACTCTGAGCACTGCCGACAAGAAGACTCAAGCTGCATTTCTTTCAAAGAGTTTTGCATTGTGACTTGGTTACATGCGGCATCTAAGCAAACATCTTTAGTTGGAAATGCCTCAAGGTCTATCGATAGTGAGAACATACCACGACATCAAGATACAGACAGTTTTGTGAAGCGTAATTTCTCATCTCTATGCCAAATAAAAAGAAAATCCTGTTTCCATTACACTTTCACAAAGTGGCAAGTAACCATCTGCTGCAGACCACATTGGAATATCTGTTCTATAGAGCAGAGTAGAGTAAATACAGTGGAATGGAATAGAATAGAATTAGCTTCCATATAGCCTAAAGTGCCTGATCCTGCCTAATCTTGGAAGCGAAGCAGTTGGTCCTGGCCATCGTTATTTGTTTTTCGGTGCCAGGTTAAGACCTTTTTTATTTAAAACTTATTTTAAGTGTTCATTTATTGGTTATTTGTAGGATTTTAAATTTTTTAAGCCGAGATGCACTGGGTTTTAATATTTTTATTGTATAATTTTGTTCCTGTTGTAAGCCGCCCCGAGGCTTTGTTGCGATGGGGGCGGCATAAAATTGTTTTAAATAAATAAATAAGTAAATAAATAAATCTGGATGAGAGACTTAAATGTTGTGAACTGCCCAGAGAGCTTTGGCTATGGGTAGGATGGAAACGTAAATAGTAATAGTAGTAATAATACATGTGAATGATTATTTAGGGGCTTGGTCTTTCTAGTTCTCAAATGCATTTCCATCTTTCTGGTCTTTCTAGTTCTCATCATGCACTTCCGCCAGCGAGGCGCAAAACCCACGTCTTCGCGGAGCGTAGTTGGCATTGTGGAGAAACGCAGCGACTCACAAAATCAGGCAGTTCTGGCAACTGGGATTCCTCCCTCATACTAACCGCGATGTGGTAGGAGTTCATGTGCTGAGCAAAGCTGCAGTGCTTGTCCACCAGAAAGCAGAACCGCTTCTTCTCTTCAAGCAAGGCCTCTCTGCACCCTTCAGCGATGAATCTTTGGATATCACTTTGTCGGCAACTCACGGTTTCCAAATACTAAATCAAGCGTTAAATAGTAGATTATGATTGAGAAAACTTTATAAGTTCTTTTCAGTCAGTCCAGATCCCATTGCAACCTTAATGTCGTTGTCTTAATCCAGACTCAACCAGGAGTAGGCAACGCAGTTTTCTATCGCTGGTAAGAGAACGACCACTTATCTTAATACGCATCTGTCCCCTTGCTAGGTCTGCACAATACCCAGTTAATTTTTCCTTCCGAGAGATGTAAGACACGCAAATAGCTGTGCACACTTTCTGTGCAGCGAGTCAAGAGAAGAATGCTTGAGACAAACCCGAGGGCTTCTTTGACTTAACCCAGTTCCGGACATTCTAATTTGCGGTCAGGGGGCTTTGATCACAAATTGGCATGAGTGGGAAATCAACTGCACGGAAAGATGGCTTTTTCCACTCCCACTTCAGCTGAATATGCAGCGGCTGCAGAGGGAAGGGGGAGCAAAGAAAAGTGGATGCAGGCCGCTGGTGTAAGTGCAAAGAGCTTCCGCTTGTGGAAATTCTGGCCCAAAATTAGGCACCCTGGCACCCAGACAGCTTACAGGGACCACTTCTCAGCTAATTTAAATTTCTGAGAAATCAGTTATTAACTAATGTGCAAATGCTATCCGTCATCATCATGGAAAGACAGTTATGCCACAAAAGGTGTTTTATAATCATTCAAAAATAATAATTAATATTAGCACGGCCATACTACAGAGCTTGGCTGTTTTAAAAATGCCATGCTAAGCTTGAGCTAGAGAATTTGTAAGGTAACAGCTCCTGTTTCTGGATAGAAAGCAGAAAGGAGAATGAACACAGAGGGAGCCGTTTGGCTAGTGCGAATGGTATATAAAAGCGATAATAAGTAGAATAGACTAGAATAGAATAAATAAAATATTAACCTCTGTTTCTTTATGTTCATATTTTGTCGCATTCCTTGCTCCTTGACTTTTCCTTCGGATTTTCTTCAACTCAGCCTGAGACTTTTCCAAAGAATCCAGTTTGCTTCGATGTTCATTCTGGTATCTCTTCAAAGTAGCCTGCAATCAAAATGCTCAGAGATGTTACATTAGCCAACGTCTCGGAAACTCAATTCTTGCCAGCGAGTTAACACCGGAGAGGTTCTGTTCAACCAGTGTCAGCTTAATCCTTGCATAATATAAAACCAAAGCATTCTTGCTCTTCCTCTGACCAGCAAACATTTTAGTTTGAATCCTTCTCCTATTTTTAGAACCTGTCACCAGTTATGAATACTTTCATGAGGCACGACAATGGGTTAATATCTGGCATATGAATATATGCATAGGAACCCAAAATCTAGGGTTTACCACAAACCACAATTTATTACTGATTGCATTATTCCCACAGAATCCTATTTCCTAGGATTTTCAGGAATATAAGCCAACAGCTTTCATGGGACTAACTTTCAGATCAGTAGGACTGCATAAAATACATGACTTCAGAATTAAAGATTCAGCCTTTAAGTCAACCCATAGAGATCTTTAGTTTTGATACATGGTAGAAGTGGAGATGTTATAGATAGAACTCGATGCCCTAAATCCAAAGATTTGTCATACAGATGAAATTCCTGCTGTACGCATGAAAAGCTTTCTTATCCACTCTGGTGGAGTCACAGTACCATGAACTTTTAATGACAGTGGTCAACATCAAGGGACACAGAGGGGGCAAAATTATTGCTACAGATAGTTGACTCTTCTTTGGCACTGGCAAGTCATATACTTACATTCATGTATTTTACATCTAGCTCAGTTTTCTTCTCCAGCTCAGATATAATCTCTTTATGGAATTTCTTGAACTTTAGGAGGAAACAAATGACAGTATGGATCAAAGGTTAGCATATCCTCATCAGAAATGCTTTTGAAATGTTTAAAAACATTGCAAAAATGTTTACTTACACTTTCTTCTAAGCTGTCATTTAGCTTCTTCTGCGCGATAGAAATTTCTATGAGAACGTGACCTGTTAACCAATAAAAGTCAACATTATTTCTCATTTCTTTAACTGGTGGAAGATTTCTGAATGAGAGAGAGACCAGACCATGTAAGAGAACACATTCAAAAGCATGTAAAAGCACACAGCTTTTCCCAGCCTTGTGCCTTTCAGACACGTTTGGATTGTATCACCCAGAATGCCCCGTCAATCGCCCCGCTGGATGGGAATTCTGGGAGTTGTGGCCCAAATGCCTCTGAAGGCCACCAGGCTGGGGAAGGCTGATGTAACTACCTAGACATTCCTTAAAAATCCCTGGCCACAAACTGAAAATTAAGTTTTAAAGATATCTAGCTACAGCAATGCATAGCAGCTATCCGAGAATGATGTATGCTTATGGTATGTTGGGAGGTCGATTTTTCTTGGCACACGTTCCCAGCTCATGTGGCGCTGGACTCATTGGAGGAGGAGGAGGAGGAGGAGGAGGAGGAGGAGGAGGGGGGCTGGGAATGTGGGGACCCAGACTTTGAGATGAGAGAAGTGGAGGAGCTTATCTGAGAGCCCCCTCCCCAACCACCCGGGCAGGCTCTGAGAGTCACCGGGATGTGCAGCTGGAGAAGGCATGGGAGAGGATCCCTCAGGGGCAGGTGAACCTGGTATGGCTCTGGAGCCCACGGCACAGCATCAGGAGCGAAGGGCCAGCCAACCGGGGGCTGCCGCACAGAAAAAAGGCGTGCTAAAAGGGCCCTTCCAAGGGGACTGGGCCCAGACATACCCAAAAGGAGGGTTTCCAGAAGTAGTTGTTTAGACTGGGCTCAACAAACCGCTCTGTGCATGCTCAGGGCTTCTTTCAGAAGTGACCTCGTGCACTGGAAATACTTTGGTAAATAAAGAACATTTGCAAAGGAAAGAGCCATTGCCTGGAATGGGCAAAGGGAGGAAAACCTCGCTCGTGACGCTTCACATATATTCATGACAGGTGCTAACAGAACATACTAAGAAGGGTTTACGATGGTGTCTGTGGGCTCTGCTCACTGATGAGCTTGCTACAAATGCCATTCCGACATGCACGTGCACGATTTTATGGGTCTGCCCCAAAAGGTTATAGACCCCACATCTTGCAATGGGGAGGCAGGAGAAGCAGGTGCAATCCTGCCCCCATCCATGCATGCATGCAGGCGATAGGAATGTCAAACAAGTCAAGAGCTACATATTCTCCAGCTGTTGTTTTCTTGTCCTGCGTTTTGCATGCTCCACCGTGGAAGATGGGCACTGTTATCTGCCAAGGTGCAGGCTCAGCCCACAGTATTCAGGAAGGGCTGAAAAACTCTCGTCTTACATCTTGGAACGCTGCACATGTACGCAACCAGGTGCTCTTTGGGAGTTGTGGACTACAACCAACGGCACTTTGGTGCATTTAATCTCTCTTAAATTGTTTTGTAAACCACGCTGATTGTTTGTTAGGCAGGTGGGGCATACATCAAATTAATGAATCAACGACATGATTCCTGACCACTGGCCATGCTGGCTGGGGCTGATGGAACTTGTCATCTGCAAGCCAGGATGGTGCAATGGGTACAGCATTGAATCAGAAATCTGGAAATCTCAGGTTCTTGTTTCCACTCATCTATGAGGCTTTGCTAGGTGAATTTGGGCCAGTCACTGACTCTCAGCCTAACCTACCTCAAAGGGCTGTTTTGCACATAAAACGGAGAGAAGGAGAAGAGTTCCCTACAGGAAAAAATGTTTTTTTTTAATTACTATATTTATATCCCACCTTACAGGAAAAGGATGTGATATAAATATAATAATTAAAAATATCTGCAGGGTACCCGGTTGCTTAATCCCTGAATGGACTAATGACCTGACCTGGTAAGGCAACATTCTATGTTCATATGCCATTTATTTATTTGTTGTTTGTTTATTTATTTAAACATTTTTATGCCGCCCCATTCGCTGAAGCCTTGGGCGGCTTACAATTAACAGATCATCAACACATCTTTTAACTTTCATTGCACTAAGCTGAATTGCAAAACCCCTGACAATATAATCCACCAAGTTCCAAAGTCAACAGGATTGCATTTTGGTCGCTATTTTCTTGGTGAATCCAGCAAATTTCCATCTAAGCCAGATCTAGAAATTATGCTTGGAGAATCACAGCTTTTTTTCCTTTCACTTAGAGAAAACAGAAATAGAAGTGAATGAGGTTAATCTTGCTCATAGGTCAATCCTCTTCCTCTTGTGCTTTTTTCCACATTAACTATTATGTTAGTAAACTGCCAACAGATCTAATTTATGCCTGCCCTTCCTTCTCTGCCCTATGAGTAGGAGACAATCCCTGTCTCAGCTTTTCCATTTGTAAAACACAAACGTTTATAACCTTACATTGCAGGTGAAAATGTGGGTGTAATCACGCAAACCTCCTCCGGGGCAAGTCCCACCTATCTAAATAGGGCCCAGGCATTAGGAAAGGATTGCAGCCCAGGTCATGACATTATTCAGTCTAAAGTATGCATATCTGAAGAAATAATGAAGCAATTTACCTTCTAATGACGCGAAAGGCTCAAAGCCTGCAAAATGCGTGTTTCTGAGAGAGTTCACCAAGCCAATGCACACAGTGCACACTTTAGAGAATTCATCGCTGCAGCAACTCGTTTAACCAGCAGGCTGGCACATTTGCAAAGATTAATGCAGGAGAAGCTGGAACTTCTGACAGCCATCCAACAAAACTGTGCGCTGGCACAACTGTCCACACCCTTCTCCACTCCCTTTTCCTGCCACGACAGTGTAAATGTTCAATAAAACAACCCATTCACCTTGTGGGTCTGGATTGGAAAACCCGACTTCCCTAAGTTGCTATTCTGGTCTCCGTAGGGCCGCTTTCAAAGTGACCGGGTGTAACTGCTCCTCCGGAATATCGATCTTTTCCTTACACCCTTCAGAACAATTTGGAGGACTAATACAGTTGGGGAATTAAAGTAAATGTTCAAGCAAGTTACTTTATATACAGGTCTGGTTTCCCCACTTTACATCTCTGCCTAGGAACCTCATCATCACTGCGTACGAGCAGATAGACGCTTTGGCCCGCCTACGTCCTCCTGGGTTACTAATGAGTCAGTATTTGGACAATGGAAGCACAGCCAAATAGAGCTCTTTCAGCTGAAAGTCAAGTATTTCCACAGTTGAGAGATATGGGGGGTTTCAAAGACATTTGGTGAAGCTGCAGTGGTACTTTGCGGTGACTGAACGGCCTTGTGTGGTGGATTAGTAACTCTCCTAAGCGCCGTAGTCACGAAAATGCAAAAGTGTGGGCTGAGAGAGCCTACATTCAGAAGGCACGCTCTACCTGGTGGAATATTTCCTGCATCAACACCTTTCTACATCTCAGCCATCAAGCCGGGCTCACTGACTATGCCTGAAAACCAATCCCAGCCTGCCTTGCACACAAGCAGTGGGAAGAATGAAGGCTTCTGTTCTTCTACAGGGCAGTGGGTATCAAAAAAACAGAATTCTTTATTAATGTCAGAAGATGCCTTGAAAAGGGGGGGAAATCCAGTGCACAGTATCAGCCACACGTGCACATCAGATTTCCAAGAAGTAACTGTGCTTTATTGCTTCCTTCTTATCAGGCTTCTGGCCATGTCAGTAATTCCAGTACCTGATCAGAACAATACCCAATTCAACGAGAAAGGTAAACACCTTTTGCCACAGGTAAATGGAAAGAAAAAACCTCCAGCAGGAAGCACAATCTGTACTCTTAAAGAATCTGATTACAGGGCAGGAACATTCTTTAAGGAGGTATGAACTCTGTAGATCAGGGAAGGGCAGGTGTCAGTTGGCAACACAACAGGCCACATAAATAGATGGCCACTATTTCCTCTTTAAAGGAGTATAAACACACACACATAACTTTTGGAAGGGACGTGACTTAGAGGATGCCAGACCCAGCCAAGATAAGATGGGGGAGATAATATAACAGCCATTACTTCATGTGGCTTTAAATGGGACTAAACAAATTTACAGAAGACGGTTATCAGCCGCCATTGATAGATCACCAACTGCTTTGATGGATAACGGAACTTCCAAATTATGGCAAGGATGCATCTTAATTTGCAGAGGCCAATTTTCCATTTTGAAGGCAGCCTCTATTTGAAGAGTTGTCCAGTGCAACCCAAAGATAAAGAACAGGGAGAGGGCAGCAGGGGCCTTGACGAAGTGCTCCAAGAGTGAGTAGCTGGCCAGAAGGCGTACAGGACGCTCGGTTACAGTTTGCCCCACCATGGTGAAATATACTGCATTTCTGTATGAAGTTGAGCAAATTTAGTCTAAATTTGCAGCTATATTTACAAATGCATATATGCAAATAAGTATATTTGCATCTCTTTCAGCAACTGGGTGACTCCTCCTCCTTCATCTCCTCCTTTTCCTCCTTCTCCTTCATCTCCATCTCTTCTTTCTCCTCCTCCTCCATTTCCATCTGTTCCTTTTCCTTCATCTCCATCTATTCCTTCTCCTCCTCCTCCTCCATCTTCATCTATTCCTTCTCCTCCTTCTCCTTCATCTCCATCTCTTCTGTCTCCTCCTCCTCCTTCTCCATGTCCATCTATTCCTTCTCCTTCTCCAGATGCATAAGTGGTTATTCTATCTCAGGTTTATTAGCTGTATCCCTCTCCATACTAGGAGATGTGGGAAGGAAACATCAATGGAGGGATGCTGCCTTCGTATTATGCTAGAAGGCCATTGTAGGAAATAGTATATTGAACTAGATAAACTTTTGGCCTGAGCCAATTACAGTCCCTGTTATTAATTTATTTGTTTCTGCATATTCTGTATTTGTATGGTGGCTTACAAAACTGCAGACGGAATAACAATATGTCAGTTGTGATATCATAAGACGAATGCTAAGTCTAGCATTCATCCCATCCGTGTTCAAATTACACAGTGACACCTGTTCAGTTCCATGCCTGTCAATTGGTGTACACAGCCATAACTAATTATAGCTCAGTAAACAAACTCTTGATGAATCATAA